CGATATACGCAGGAAAGGGGTCTAGCCAAGTATATCCGACCACGCATCTTCTACTGTGCCTGAGACACCAAGTACCAAGCTTGAATGTTCAGGTACCTTGCAGTCCGGGCAGGTGCGCACAGGTACTCATATGCGCGTGCAGGGGTACAAGAGTGATATTAAGGGATGGCTGTCGACCATGGAAAAGGTACCTCGTGCATATACAAACTCGTTGCCAAACATCGATGAGTCCACCAACGTGGCATCGACGTTGAGTGCAGCGTACCATTGGCGCTCGATAGAGGTGCTGCATCCCTCGAAACATAACCGGAGTCTAGGAAGTCCAGGTCGGTTAATCAAGCTAGTGGTGGAAGCAATGGAAGGAAATAGAGTTTTCCTTCCGAAAAGCCCGATGGCTGATCAGGGGGGTTGAGTGTGGTGTTTCAGCCTTTAGCACTGGTCAAAGGGAAGTGGGCAAAGACTATGGCAGCCTCCGTCGTTCCGAGGTAACTATTGTGGTTTAGTCCGCTTTCGAGAGAGCATCCCATCCGCCGTCATGTGAGGACCTGGGGTGGGAAGACCCGTAGGTCTAGACTGACTGACGATTCCTTCAATTTGTTTTTGCTTCATGACACGGAAAGCTAACAGTAACTAACATCAAGGTCACAGGCATGTCGAGTTGACCGAGCACCCGAATTTTTCGCTGGAACATGCCGTTGAAACCGTTGAGGATACAAGCTTCGGGCTGCTTCCTCGTTCTCTGCCCTTGGCTTGTGATTGCCTAGAGCCATTTTTGGGTTCCTTCCATGTCCGGGTGCTTCATTGTCTGGCATGCTCCGGCCCCAACAGCATTCACACTCGCAGTGCAGTGCACTTTTCCTTGCCCATTTCCTCTTACGTTGCCAGTGGCAAAGTGACTGTGCAAGGATCGGAGGGGTTCGAGGGAATAAAGAGATTTGGGAAAAGGACAAGAGCCTTTAATATATCTCACGGCCCTTAATTGATGTGACCTTTCTGTCCTTTTGCCCTTGTGCGTCGTCTCTTTGCCCAGTCTCGCCACTCCTTCTTGCATCATATTCCACTTTGAGGTTTAGGCGGACGTTGCCTTGTTCTTTTCATCCCAACACTCCCTCATTCTCCATTCAATCTCGATGCATTAAGTTGCATTACTTCACCTGGGCAACGCGCGGTCGTTTCATTTCATCTCGAGACAGGTCCCTCTTTTTTTCTCCCCCAAGACCCGCCTGCCTTCCAAACCTTACTTACATTCACTCGGACCTATGACGACCCCAGACATTTGAGCTATTGTGACGAGCACCAGCCTCAACAACCACTTGCTTAGCACTCAACCATAAGCGTTCAACCTGGGACGGCTTTTCTTGAGCAACATCTGGGACGGAGAGCTCATTCGCTGCAAAAGTCTTACAAATTAAAATCGCAACAGCCGCCGCAGTCGGGCAAAAACCACGAAGCAAAGTCAGAAAAAGAAAGGAAAGCGCAGAGCGTAAAGACCACAACACCACCTCTAATCTTCCAATCACGGCTGTATCCGACCTTTGAAACCGCCTGCCAGGGCTTGTCGATCCTCGATCCTCTGGCATATCAGCAATTTCATCTCTATACCGACTGTCGCTTACCCCGACCTACCATCATATCTGCAACCAGCATTGTTGTGTGGCGTAGAAGCTGAGTTACGCCCGAGCTTTTCGAGTACTTCTTGACCACCACTGCGATATCACTTGTACAGTCAACACCAGATTAGCCGACGAACCTGACTGGATCCCAGTATCTCTCAACTTGGCGCGGCTCCTTTGACATATGCAAGTGGCCGACGTCTCATAGCCTGCCGGAACCCTCACCCACCCAGCCGGGTTCGACCATTTCCCCCTTGCAAGTTGCAACCGGGCATCATCGACTGCAGTATCTCAACGCACAAGCACTATACGCTCGTACACCATACTTGCGGCTAGTAGTCCTTACTTCGACTCTGCTAATACCTGGAAGCGCGGAATTACAACTTCCCAAACAACATCCAACGCCAGCTGTTGGGAAACGTCCAAAAACAGCAGCGGCGGAACCTGTTGCCTTGGCTATTGACCCTATTTTGGCCAGTACATAAATATATCTTAACGATATACATAGGCTATCAAAACAGGGCTGTGTAGCCCTCAACGCGACCTACGCGAAATCTTGGGGCTCCGGTTTCAGATCAAGCATCTCCTCGCTTGTGCATTTGAGCACGGTAGAAAGACTCCTTAAACTGCAGTCAGCAGGCGCCGGCTTCCCCAGATACTACCCGCATTCCCCTAGTATACCTAAAGGTAGGCAGACCCATCAGATCACTGATATGCTTCCACTTCCGTTGGCACTAGCTCATATCTTGCTATAGGTAGCCATATTCAACATCGAACATAGCCCAACTCCTTGTTGCTGCGTCAACACCTTGCATCAGCATCTCTCAGGGAGTTGCCGCTGCCACTGCTCTTCAGCCCAACCAGAACCAGAAAAAGGGGTGTGTCCAACGCCGCTCATATTGCTCTGGTCCTCTTATCCCGGCTGTCGCAAATCCCAAGTTATTTGCCATCCTCATTGGCCCGCCTACTCGCTACCTGTTCTCCGGTTCATGTACTTCTGATCATTCGTAGAGGTACTTCTTACACTTCCCCTTCACATATTTGGTACCCAAATTAGTTTATAGTTATCTCTTCCCACTGGCTTTGACCCATATCCCAGATTTCGGCATCTCAGACCACCCGCTAACCACATTCCTCAAGGCCTTTGCACATAGATACCCCAGACGCGGAGAATCAGCACCGATCACTGAAGAACCACGGTATTCGGACACTCGGTCACGATTGACCACTACACCCGCAATTCCGGTCATTACCCGCTTCCCGCCATCTCTCGTTATTTGGTGCTGAAACGTGCGGCAACCCAGAAGTCCCCTGTCCAGCTAGTAGAACGACTCAGAGCAGGATCGTTTGATGGCAACCGCCCATTCGCCCCTTATCAAATCCAAAGTCGAAAGCTGGCTATCTGGCAACTCCGCTATATATCCTGCCGTCTCGTCAGTGCCCATGACAGACATAATGTCATTTCAGTATCCTCCGCCACCGCCCCAGAACGGCACAGATATGGATATCCAGCATTCCGGGTACATGCCTTATTCCGTTCCGCCTCCAGGGTCCTCAGGAATGGACCTTAGGCACAGCCCAGAGACGGGCAGAGATCGATCGGACTCTTACCCGTTCGCGACGAAGCCGAAGCGTTCAATGTCTGCATCGCAAACAAGTCAACCGCCGCCCACACCGCGAGACCCAACAACGCCTGACCAAGGTATTCTTTCAGGAGAGAAAAGGAGGAACAAACTAGGATATCATCGAACATCTGTTGCATGCGGTAAGTTCTAGTCAAGACCAAAGTAACTCTCTTACGTTTGTACTGACCGTAAATGCAGGACATTGCCGTCGCAGGAAGATTAGGTGCATCCCGTCCCAGAACGACGTACAGGCTCGATGTGTCAACTGCATTCGCCTGAAGAAAGAATGCAGCTTCTACCCAGTAGATCAACAACCCCCGCAAGAAACCCGACAAAAGTCGGTACAAAGGTCTTCCACCGGACCTAAGATCACGTCCACATCTTCATCACCGGCGATGCAGAGCGGGGTCCCCTCAGAAGTTCACGGTCATTCCAACTATCCGCATTTGTCACTAGCATCAATCACGAACATGCCACCCCCCATGAGGCCTTCGGGTACAGAAGATTACACCCCAGATTCCAAGAGTAGGTCAAAAACCAAAGAGACATAGGGTGGATCTTACTGACAAGTTTACAGTTCCCCCAAGTGCCACAAGCACTAGATCCTACGAATATGGACAGCACGGCATGGCCAACTGGATGTCCCCTGACGCCGGTCCGAATACGTCCAAACCGAGCGACATAAACCCGAACTGGAGATCCTACACGAGTGAATCCCCCATCACCCCCGCATTTTCCCCCTACACGCCTCACGCTCCCCAATCCGCCACTTGGTCAGCAGCATCCATGGGCTCCGAGTCCTCGCGGGATGAGCTAGCGTGGTCATCATCCGGTTACCCTGCCCCTTCCTCCCGCTCCATGTCTTTTGGCGGTGGCGGCGAGGGCATGGCCAGCCAGCAATATCCCCCGGCCTCACAAATGGGCGGTGGCGGTCGCCCGTACGATCGCAAGTCGTCTGCCATGTCCAGCGATATCTATCCTTCCCCGATCGCCACTACCATCCCTGGAATTGATACCGTCTCGGGAACAAGTCAGGATCCCCATTCGGCTATCTCTGCTGGAGCTGTTCCCCCGGCGGGTTATGCGTCGTGGCAGCAACCTTACCAGTACTCCAAGCCTGCTGAGGGCTATTCGGCTTGGTATGGAGAAGGGGGAAACCAGCAGGGCCATGGGATATAGGGGCTTGGTTCCACCTGAGCAGGCTCATTTGGGCCTCGGCATGTTTAAGTACGGATGGCGGGAAGTCGATGCAATTGGGGAATTCGAATCGGATTTGAGTTTAAGCATGGATGGACCTGGCCGCTAGACACCGTGTTGGTGGCCATCGAATTCCATGCTTTTGAAAAACCTGGATTTCATGGCAACCAAATTCGTGATATTCGCCATTACCCTTGAGGGCGAAAAGGGCGGTTCGCAGAAGAGAATGCGGCTCGGTCGAAGATGGTTCTCGGAGTGGCAACGGACAAATCCCCAAAATCAACCCAGCTAATCAAACTGCTCGTCACCCAGACCTCCTTGATGCAAGAGAGAGAATCGGGAAGCCGGACACCCAGTAAGATCGAACGGGGTTGTTGCGGCACGGGATACATCACATGAGACGGGTTGGAGCGTGATGATATCTTACAAGGTTACCCACTCTTCTCAAGACGAGATCGAGTCTTTGGCCAATACAACCGTCAAGGAGGCCACCATTGTCGAATTGAAGTGGGCTTGAGAGACGGTATGGAGGAGGAAGGGGAGAGATAACAAAGATTGGTCAACATTCTCGGATACCACGAGTCTTTTAAGACGCTTGATGGATTTCTGCCACTGGTTCAAACCCAACCATGGTTCTCGGGGAATTTTTCACACGGGAGCGGGACGGAATGGGCACACGGAACGGCTCGGACGGCTTGAAGGCATAGGGGTGGAGAGAAGAAGAGTAGCGATTTGTTGATGCGCTACCCACGTGGTGACGTTGCCATTGGCGTCTTGCCTGTTTGTCACTTAGATGATATTTCTCTCCTTTTCTTCAGGACTTTAGTTTTGTATTTTTCTTTTTCTTTTTTCTTCTCTCTGTCTTGCGGTAAAACTAACAGGGCGGTAAACTTCTTTTTTCATGTCATGATCAGCGACTGGGACGGGAAACAAAATTTGCGTACACGGATTATAGCTGGATTCATTGTTGGTTTACATGTGTTTTTGTGCTTTGCTTTGCTTTATAACGTTCATGCTGCCCTTTTTCTTCTTGCTTTGTCCTTATCTATGTTTCGGTTCGACACGTTAACGAGCATTCAAACGGCTTTTCTTCATCGCTCTTGTAGGTTTGTGCTTAAGATTTTTTCCTGGAAGTCAATATATAACAGACTTGCTTCATATTTTAGACTTGCTCGCTAGATGGCCACGCGGAAAGGTAACCATTGACTCTTGCTTAATACGGGAGTTGCCATGTAAATGCTATATGTACTTGCTTGATATCGCTCGCGAGACACAAGGAAAAAATCAAGTGATCCCAACGAAAGCTTCTCCAACATTCATAGCCTAATCCAACCTACCGACTCAAATCCCACAACAACACCATCAACGCCACATACGCGGCAAAACTCAACACCGTCAACAACGCCACACTATTCGCGCTGGTCCTAAACTTTTTCTTGACCACTACCACCGTCTTTCTCCTTTCCAGCCGCTGTCCTCCCGTTCCCGACCCTCCCATCCCAACAACCCCCATCCCATTGCCGTCACCCCCTGTTGTCCCCAGCCCACCATAAGCAGTCCCAGTCCCACTCCCCACTCCGATTCGGTCACCCTCATCCCCATCCTCCAAGTCCTCCTCAACCTCCTGATCAAAAAACTGTCGATTCCCTTCATACCGCCGATATATCGCCACCAACATGACCGCGGCTCCGTGCACGGCGAAAAGGGCGCCGATGGGGTAGAATTCCGAGGTGAAGATCCTGAGGATGATCAGCGCAAAGGAGAATTGTGACAGGGCGGTGCGCATGTAGGCGCCTTCGAAGGTTCGTTGGGAGGCGCGTATTTCTACTAGTCTGGGACATCATGTTAATACCCCTAAGGGACTGGCCGATAGGAAATGGTGGGTAGCAGGTTAATAAGGGTGGGTAGAAGGTTAAACATACTCTTGACTGGTGAGAATAACGGAGCGGGCTCGGTGAAGACGGAGGTGGAGACGGTCTTCTGGGTGGGGTTGGAGGGCCTGCTAAGTCGTTAGTTATGTTTGCTGGTTTGGGTTGCAAATATCAAAAGGAAGGTAAGCTCACCTCGAGTATTGAAGCCATGATTATATGGTTGTGGTGTAAGTGATAGTGGTGAGTTGTGAGTGGATGTCGTCACCGGGGGCGTGTAAGTCAACAAAGTCCGGAATCGGAAGGTTGAATAGGTATTCGGAGTGCGCAGCTGGGCGAAGACACCAAAGCGAGTGAACCAAGAAAAAGTAACTATTATTCAAGTGAGCCTGATAGATCCTTGAACTTGATCACATAAACATGGACAACTCTTTATTGCGGTGTTCAGTCATAGGATGTTATTTGAAGAGGACTGAAGTTGAACAAACAAGGCCCAGCTCCACTCTCAACACCAATTCCCCATTGATGCACGACATGGGAGGGTTCCACTTATCCAATTCCATCCAATCATAAATTTCCTGCCCTTCTTTCCTCACCCATGTCCCATGGCCTTGGCCTGTGCGCCAACTTCACTGAAATCTCCACACGGTGTTAAACAAACGGATGTGTGTGCGTGTGTGACCACCCCTGTCCCCGATGATGACAGATGAAGCTTCGTGGCCGTTTTAGCGACTGGACACAGCAGTGTGTGGAATCGGAAGCTCCCGTCAAGGTACACAAACCACGGCACCATTACAGCTTCAACAACATCGCGACAACGAATATCCAAACAACCACCGACCCGAACCAACACCACCGACCCGAACCAACACCACCACCTGCTAGCAACAGCGCAGAGACACAGATCAATCGCAACGTTCCATAAATCAAACAATCCACAACAGTCAGACACAATGGGTGGAAAGCGCAAGAACGCCTCCTCCGCCGCCGCCCGCGGCGTCTCCCCCTCCCCCTCAGCGACATCGACAACAACATCAGCAACAGTCACAACCAAAGTCCAACCCAAAGAATCCGCTCCTCCCATTGCCACGACAACCAATGCCTTTGCTACCAGCACTCAGATTGAGCCTACTACCACTACCACTACCACCTCTACCACAAAAACCACTACCGGCAAGAGCTCGGGCAGCAGCAGCAGCGGCGCACAAGGGCAAGCATGGAACAAAGTCTTCAGCAACCTCTTGACACACTACCAGGACACGACGCCGCAGCGGACCAAGCTGATTGATGCGTTCATGGCTTTCCTTGTGGTGGTGGGCGGGTTGCAGTTTTTGTATTGTGTTTTGGCTGGGAATTATGTACGTTTGCCCCCGGTTTATCCCCGTTCCCTTTCTCCCACACATCAAATCTCTCTTCTTGCAAAATGATTCAGGTGATGGAAGTTGAAGAAGGTTACGACGGAAATCACAATAGCAGCATTGGCTAACTATGGTTCCTTAAAAAAAAACAGCCCTTCAACGCCTTCCTCTCCGGCTTCTCAGCAACAGTCGGCCAATTCGTCCTGACGGCCTCGCTACGGATCCAGACAACCGAGGCGAACAAGAGTGATTTCCCTTCGGTGTCGCCTGAACGGTACGTTACGTTACATACGGTTTTCCCCGAAGGAGCAATATCCCAGGTGGTGTGGTGGGTGGGATAGCTTTGCTAACTTGACTCGGTCTCGGTTATAGAGCCTTTGCCGATTACTTGGTCTGCAGTTTGATTCTGCATTTCTTCTGCGTCAACTTTATCAACTAAGAAAGAGAGCAACCAAGGACGAGCGATTGAGCGAGGAGTTAAAAGTACACGAGTGTGGGATATAGAGGATCGTTGTGTTGTTGAGGGGTATCAGGTGAATGGAAGATAATTGCGAGAACATGGCGGGAACGAGCAAGTCATCAAGCAAGCAATAACAGAACCGTCCGTATTTTCAAGCGAGCTAGAAGAAGACAAGACAGGCGGGAGGATATGTCGATAAAATTGTCTGGCATTTATTATACCTTTCTTCTTTTTCGATTTACAGTATCTACAATAGATGCTTCAAATTTCACGCTGGATTATTTCTACTTCCTTCACCCACTCGCTGGAAATGGTCAACAACCAATACCGCTGTAGGGGGGCACCATTCCAACTTCACCAACTTCGGACATGTCATGACGCCAGGCGACGGGAGTCTTCAAAGAGCTTCAATGCCCGCAAGTTCCCAGACCCCAGTACTGGACGGAAGTCCGCCGCCATTGTCAAAGACAATCACCACGCCCCAGCCTTGGATGCTTGTAATCATAATATCACAGGTATCATTCACAACCTCCTAGTCAAACTTCTCCCAGTATTCTACCTTAAGCCACTAACTCTCGCCCCCCTCAGCCGTCTCTTCCCCTTGCGCACTACCAGGCGGGGGCGACGACACTGCCTTGGGCGGTCCACCTTTAGGAGGACCTCCCATTGGCGGCGGCGGTACTGGTGTGTTCTTCCTGCTAGGAGCATTATCCAATTCCCTACTCTTCTTCTCCTGCTCCTTGAAGTAATCATCCATCGAGCCCAACCCTGTCCTATTCGCCGGTCTCTCCTTCTTCTTTCCCCTAGGCGGAGCAGAAGCGACCGCCGCGCCGCCAAACTGTGTTGCCGGGGGTGGTGGTGTGCCGACCATCTGCGCTGGTATGAGAAACTCACCACCGCCGACGGGTGGGGGCGGAGGGGAGGTTGTAGTAGCAAAAGGGGCGTAGTGCGATTGAACGCCTGCTGGTGGTGGTGCTGCACCCGGGTATCTGTACTGAGGTTCTTGTTGATACTGTTGCTGCTGTCCGACGTGTCCGTATTGCTCCGAGTCGCCGTCGAACAGGGTCTCGCCTGGGGCGTGCACAGGCTCGCTCAGGGGCGCTGGCACCCGGTGCAAAGCGCCGTAGCCTAGGACGCAGCCGAGAGCACCCTCACCACCCCAGTCCCGGCTGGGCTGGATGGTCACCTCGCGGGTGACGTTGTACTCGTTGTTGTAGATGTAAAGGCGCAGGGGGCGGCCAATGTGGTCCTCCACTAGCTCGCTGAGCCCGCTCTCGCCGTGGAGGACTCCCTCGGGGGTGCCTAGGATGTAGTCGCTGTATGGGAGAAGACCGGCGACGTCGGCGGGAGAGTTCGCGGGGACGTCGAGGACGTGCCAGATGTTGGTGACGACAGAGAGGGCGGTCCATTGGAGGGTAAGCCCGAGGGAGGCAGTATCGGCGGGGACGGGGATGTGGAGTGCTCGCGTTCTTTGGCCCTGTTTTTAAAGGAAAAGCCGTCAGCATTGGGTGTAACTAGCATGTTCACGGTGGTGATATACCTTTGCGCTCCAAAGTCCCAGCTGCACAACACCGCCAGCACAGTTCCGGACTTCTTGGGCAAAGAGCCTCGGGTCAGAGTCGTCCTGGAGCAGAGCTGTGTTAGACCTTTAGCTTTCAGAATTTAACGGTTTCGAAACCATACAATCATCCGCCCATTGATTCCAACGACAAAGTCAAACCATGGCTCAATGGCCAGGTCTGGGTTGGTGTTTCGCAGCACTTGGAAGCCGAATCCGCCAGGCTGGTTCTCCTTGGACGTGGGCGCATCGCCGTCGAGCCGGGATATGAAGCGGTTGAGGGCGTTAAACATGGTTGTCATTGTTGTATGCTACGATGTGTAGCCGAACGAGTGTTGGGTTGGTTTAAATATTGGTGATCATGCGATCTGGATGTTGGATCGTCAAGAGTCGAGATGGAAGTCCTGAAGCAACCCTGGCATTTACAGCACTCGGAGCTTCCGTGATGAACCGTGTCACCGTGGACGTTAACGAACGACGGCAAGCAAGAGCGAGCCCCACTTCAGCCCAGCGCTCCTGCTGGCGTGGACCTTGATGGTCAAAGCTCCCAATTCCAGGCACATTGTGGAGTTTGCGCAAATCTGAGTGGGGCTCCAGAATTGGGGAAAAAGACGAGTCCCTGCGACTTACACGGTGCATCGAGACCGCAGCACCTTCCAGGTATCGAGTACTTCTCACATCTTTCTCATGTTCACTTCTTGAAACAATTCACAACCCTTTGGTCTTTCCATAGGACCTGTCCGTGATTCCTCAGCCACAGCATTTCTGGGGATGAAAACAAGAAGAGAGAGAATCAACTCATTCGTCACGTCCCGTTCTCAATCTCAGCCAGTCGACCACAGCAGATCCAGATACACAGACCAAGATCAACACCATCACAAACAATACAAAACTCAATACCACCAAGCCCATCACGGTCATCAACAGTATGGGCCCCAAAGTCCTCAAGAAAGGGGAGAAGTTCCCTCTCGACGAAAATTGTCACCACTACACAAAACTCAATGAAGTCCCCTGGGACATCCAAAAGTAAGATAACATCAACCCTTCATCTCATCTTCTATCTTCCATCTTTCCATCCTCACCCCCATCCCCACCCTCATCACCCTCTTCCCCCAATCCCAACCTCAACCTCACTAACCCCCCTCCAAGATACTGGCACCAACGCTTCTCAATCTTCGAATTCTACGACTACGACATCCACCTAACCGACTCGGCCTGGTTCGGCGTGACCCCGGAACCCGTCGCCACCCGCATCGCACGGGATCTCTCCACCCACCCAATCGCCCAGGGAAAACGCGTATTAATCGACCTCTTCGGCGGCGCCGGAGGCAACGTGATTGCCTTTGCGCTCTCGTCGGGGAGATGGGATCGCGTCATTGCTATCGAAAAGGACAGGAGCACGCTGGCTTGCGCCCAGCATAATGCCGAGGTGTATGATGTCTACGACAAAATTACGTGGGTGCATGGGGACTGTTTTGAGGTTATGAGGCGGTTTTGGGGGGTTCGTTTGGGAAAAGGGACGATGAGTGATGGGGGGCCAGAGGAGGATAAAGAAGAGCTGGATGATCTCCTAGCAGAGCTCAAGCTGGAAGAGTGTCTAGTCTTTGCTTCGCCGCCGTGGGGCGGCGTCTCGTACCGCGATCAGGAGGTGTTCGATCTTAGCAAGATGGAGCCCTATAACCTGGAGCAGCTGTACGAGGCGTGTACGATGCCGGAGCATGAGGAGGAGGAGAAGAAGAAGCAGGTGGAGCAAAAGGAGGGAGGGTCGGCGCAGGCGCAGACGCAGATACTGCCGCAGGCGCTTTTCTTGCCCAGACAAAGCGATCTGAACCAGATTGCCGCGCTGGTGCCGGACGGTGCGCCCAAGATTGATGTGGTGCAGTATTGTCAGAAGGGGGCGAGCAAGGCGCTGGTGGCGTACTTGCCGGGAACTATTGATGCTGGTGGCAAGGAGGAAAAGAAGCGGTCTGAGGCAAAGAAGCAGTTGTCCGAAGAGGAAAGGGGGCAAAAGAAGAGGAAACAGGACGATGAGCAGGAGCAAGCAGTACCAAAGCTTCTCCCCGAGACGACGGAGGAAGCGTCGGTGGCCTATGACGCCCAGGAGGATGTTGACCTATACGACACCCCCAAAACAGACAACGCCGAAAAGAGGAAGCGAAAACGAAGGAGGCGCTCATCGCACAACAACTAGCAATCACTGCGGCCATGGGAAGGAAAACAAGTGGAATCTACTCCTGGAGTTTTATGGTTAGGTTCGGCAACCGGGTGGTTGATGAAGCCTCGGGATTGGGACAGGATTTTAAGGAACAGGGTATGATATGGACTGATGTGGCCAGGGCATACTGACATATTTTCTTTCCCATTTAATGGCTGTTTTTACCACCATCATTGTCATCATCAGGAGTTCAAGGAGACGGGTGACACCATCTCTATCAATACAAAACATAGACAACCACCGAGAAGAACAAAATACGCTATTTCTAGTACCTAGTACTTGAACCAAAAGAATATCAGAATTAACTCAAACCTACTCCTTTTTAAACGCTAAAAGCATCATCAATCCCAATTACCTACTGCTACCAGTCTACCACCACCTACTCTCTGCCCTAGACCTCACCATCCCCGTCCCCGTCCCCGTCCCCGACCCCGACCTTGAACTCGACCTACTCCTACTTTCCCTCTCCCTCAACTCTCTCAAATCCCTCAATCCAGCACTTCCACCACCCACATACAAATCCACAACACTTGAACTCAAACTCAACCCCGGCCCCCTCCCTCCTCCTCCTCCTCCTCCTCCTCCTCCTCCACCACCACCACCATACGCAGATCCAGCCCGGTCCTAAAGAGCCTTCACCACGCTCCGCTCATCAAACAGGTCCCTCAGTAATCCATTCACACACCCTTCCCAATCGACTTCTGTCATCTTGTACGTCGTCTCAAACGCAAAGATACTCAGCTGTCCGAAAAACGGGCGGAGCACCTTGGCGACTAATTCGTCTTTGCGCTCCATGCCTACTTCGTCGCTTATTTGTCCGGGGAGGTTTCCCAGCAGAGGACGGCGGAGGGGTTGACCTTGACCGTCGATTCCATCGGTGGGAGAAAGGAGGGAGGATGGGTCTAGGCCTAGGGCTGCTGCGCCTGCTCCGGATAGGGAATTGGTGTGTGAGTGGTGGGCGTGGGGAGTGACGAGAGAACCGTTGAGTTCCTCGGAGACTTCGTCCACTAGCGCCACGGGTTGGTAGCCAGCTGCGCTGGGCCTGTAGACGGCGTCGATGGTGTCGGTAACGAACAGCCACTCGTGCAACTGGAAGTCATCGGGCGCGACGCAGACGAGCAGATCCAAAAGCTTGCAGGCTTGCATGACGGCCGGGTTGCCGTACGTGTCGCTGGGCGCGGAGTGGTCGGGCGCGACGACGGAGGAGATGGCGGCGTGCAGCTCGGCGTTGACGACGGGCCAGAGCGGAGCGAGGTGAATGGCGCTAGTGCGGAGGACGAGGGCGCGCATGACCATGTAGACTTCGGCGCGGGTGGTGGAGGAGGGGGAGGAGGTGGCAGTGGCGCCGAGGAGCTCGACAAGCTTGTCGAGGATGGAGGGCAGTTCGGTGACAAAGTTGTCGTCGGTGGCGGCGAGGATGAGGGTGGCGATGCGCCGCAGGTTGAGTTGCGTCTTGCGGTCGGCTTCGAGTCGGGCGGAAGTGGCGCCGACGCCGAAGACGATGCCCGCGGTCGAGGGCGGGGTGATGCGGCCGAGGATTTCGGGGATGCGTTCCTTGTCTGCGACGGCCCATTGCTTGAGCAGAGGCAGCCAGTCGGTTTGCACGAGGCTCAGGTTGGAGCTGAAGAAGCGGGAGTCGTTGAAGGCATCGGCGACGTCCTTCTTCCAAGACTTTTGGTTGTTAGGTAGGCGGGATAGTTGATGGAGCAGCACCAGGGTGTTCTTTGATACGGTGTCGGGGAAGAACTTGGACCGCAGCGTTGGGCCGATCACGTTGGCCGAGATGGAGGTGGCGGCTGTGAGGATGCGGTCATTCTCAACGAGGATCTTGGGCAAGTTGGGAACGATGTTGGAGAGGATTCCGACGACGTCATCTGCGCGTTCGAATGGAGTCCGGATGGCTGCTACAGAAACCGTACGAGGGGCCTCATTTGGCTTCTTCTCTGAGAGGAGGAGGTTGGTGGTGGATGACGAGTAACTCGTCGAAGAGGTTTCCACAAAGCTGGTAGGCCGTGTGGTGAAGATAGCCGCTAGGAGACGGAGGAAGAGATCCGCGAGTTCACGACGCATCTTCCTCTGTTCTCCAAAGTTGGTGTTGTCCACCTTCTCACCCAGAATGGCAGCGAACTCCAGTAAACTCGGCAACGCCTGGCGATGAGGCAATGGGTTGCCCAGGAGATCCTTCAAGAAGATCATGCAGTCCTGCCATATTTCATCCATTGCATCATCCTCCAGAGTGCGCGCATAGTCAACCAAGAAGATAACCACGTCTGTATCCTGAAGCTCGATGGTAAGGGTCGACCTCCTCGAGGGATCCAGCGCGCCTGGGTTCGTTCTGCTGTATATGGCGTTGAAAAGTGCTGGGATTGTATGCTGCGGCCTCGATCCATCAAGGGCAGGCAAGAGATTGAACACCTCAGCAGCCTTGGACGTATCAGAACTGTCCAGTGCCCCCCTCCATATTCCGATCACTGTTTCCAGGCACTCTAGTGTCTCTGCAGCGAAGAGATGCTCTAGCAACCTTCGGGCCCTGTTTCTCATCCGTAGAGAAGTGTAGTTGAACGACGCGCCCGAAGAGTTGTCTTGCAGGGAGGCATCGCTCCCTTGACCCCAGGACCAAATGGTAAAGCAGATGCGCACCGCATCTTGGAAGGCCAGAAGAACCGTAAGTCGATCGTTAGCTGTGGCGCTCCGGGTCTGAGGTGCGTCAGACGAGAAGACACCGGAGACCATGTTGCCGAAAAAGCCCTGAGGCTGGTCTGGGTTCTTGACAACCTGGGCCCTGGCCTCTTCAGCCAGTAGCCTGTCGTGTCCCCTTGCCAGTACCTGCTCGAGGCCATTTAGGAGGGATATGAGGGTGGTCTCGGGACCGATCTGATTGTGTGTTGGAGGGTCGTTAGAGGCTCGGAAGAGCTGCTGTAAGCGGTTGAAGGTGGTGGAAATCTGACTGCAGAGTGTCTCAACCAGCGGTATCAGAACCTGGAAGATCGAATCTGAGTAGAGTGGTAGGCACTCGGCGAGAAAGCTGATCCAGCTATCCAAAACCTGTCGGCTGCTGGGCGCGCTGAGTCCAGAAAGGATGCACTTTAGTAGCGTGGGCGGAGGCGGCTGAAGAGCGGATGGTGGTTTCCCTCCGGCCACAGCTCGGAAGGCTTTAGCCGAGTCTGCCGTAACACTCGCAGCGCGTTTCTCTGCGGTTGGTGATTCTGGAAGTTCGACTGGTGCTAGCTCACGAAGTTTCAAGGCCGCAAAGACAACGTCCAGAAGCAAGGTCTGTACGTAAGGCTCCGGACCTGAAAGCGACTGGGTGAGCATATCAATGAGAGGATTCTCAAGGTGCAGCTTTGCTAGTGGCTCAGCGTATGGGTTCACCATAACAGGGTTCATTACGCCCAATGCTGAACGATAAAGCTGTGTCACCCTCATCTGAGAGCTTTCATCGCCCAAAGTATTGACGTCTGCCATGCATTGCATGGCAACCTTGAGGAAGAACTCCTGGAAGGTCAGATCGTCCTCGGATCCGGCTGCTTTGGTTAGTTTTCATGTACAAGGCACCGGCATGGAAGAGTAACGTACTAATTTCAGATAATGATGGGAAGTAAGAATCTGGGCGTATAGTCTTTTTCGCAAGGAACGCCCAAATGCTGTCAGGGGTAAAGCGAAAGACATTGGATAAGGAGCGAAGATAATACACAGCCAGCTCAACGTCATCGTCTTCGGAGAATTTGTGAACCTCTTTGGCTTCAGCCGAAGTTGTTTGGCGCCTCAGACATGATAGCTCGGCGAACTTGGACACGAAAATATTGAAAATTCTGGGCACAGGCGTTAGCAAGCTGTAAATCGTAACCCAGAAGGCCTGGGGTCATACTTGTCTATTCCAACCAGGCTGCTAAGCCAACTCTTGACTGTCATGAACAGCTGCGTCCGCTCATCGGTGAGCGCGTCCAACATTAAGAATAATGGGCGGGTAAGCATGACTTCGTAATTATCTATACCACCAAGACGCGGCGGCGCCTTTGCGTCAATGATAGGTGTCTTGGGTCCTCGGCGATCGCTTCCAGCAGGGTTATCTTGGAGACTATGCGACCAGAGCACACAGAAGCTCCTTCCGGGGTCAGCAGGACGCTGAGCAAATGTGCCTGAAACATCTTTCTCCAGCATTAGAGAACATATGGCTGCTTCAATGTCATGATTGGTTGGTGTCAGAGCCGTCTGGAGTACCCAAAGACTTCGGACCGTCTCGACGTGATATTTTGGCTCTGACGAAGATAGAAAGCTCCATGCGTGGCGTACCAAAGGACTAACCAACTCAGAAAGGTCCACATGGGAAATCCGGTCGGCAGAATAAAGGTGGGTAGAAAGGGTTAATAGCGAATAATAGGTGGTAAAAGTAATAAGAGCATCTGATGACAGACACCCGTGAATGGAAGCAAGAAGTTTCTTGGTATCGAGGAACGATTTGTGAGGGGTCTTGGTGAGAAGAAGCAAGAGGACTTTGCTCTTTGCAGCGACAGTCGGGCCGGATTCGCGTTGGCTGAAACTCTCACAGTTCAGGTCGCAAGCTTTTTGCAACAAGAGTTCCGCCACATTCTGCGGTACAAATGGGGGAGAGGTGGCCTCCAAGTTTCCTTGCTCGGCGTGGTAGAAGTTCTTGATCTTCTTGAGGAGTTCGACATTGGGTATTCCGGCCAGAATCTTGGACTCGATAGCTTTAGCTTTTGCACTAGTCGGAAACGCCCTTTCTGGTACGAGCTCCAAAAAGCTTGCGGCTATTGTTAGAGCCTGTACCAGCAGAGTCGTACCGTCTGGTAGGAGAGTGGTGGCATTAGCATCACTCTCCTTTAACTCCTCGATCATGCATAAGATGGAGAGGACCGTAAGCGGAGCATGAATGGTTATCATCTCTTCTTCGCTGACGTTGAAATGGCCGAGAATGAACCTGACAAGGTCAAGCTTGTCGCTACGATCAGTCACTGAGAGTTCGCCCGGACTGATAGCCTGAGCCACGAGGTTGAGCATTTCGCTGTAAATCAACCCGCTCTCGACACCGTCAAAGAAAACACTTGCACTCCGGATCACCTCGGTGAAGTCTGATTTGCTTTCTGCTTTTGCTTTGAAGTCTCGGACACTGTCGACAATGGGAAGGAATACCTCGGGCACAACCAAGCCGCCAATCTCCCACCTGTCCATCAAGGACAGACAGATACGATATGGCTTCGCTCGGTCTGCCGGATTGTTTCCAACGCTACTAGCCTTGATCATGCTGAGTAGGGCCCGAGTCAGGGGTCGCAACCCAAATTCTTCAAAATAGCTTGTCCTCGACATGAAGTAGGCAGGGGTGCTTGCAGGCGTAGTGGGGGAATCGGGTCCGCCTTCGCCTTCGTGTGCAGTTGTCGGCTCAGGCCCTAGAAGCCAAGTCCACAGCCGCCTGTTCAGACTCATATCCCTCCGGGTTGTTACCCCAACGGCGGTCTTCAAGAGGAGTTCCAGGTCGTCGGTCTTGGCCCTGGCTTGCAACACCTTGGAGTGTAACGGAAGGTGGGTGACCAACAAATCGAGAAAACCACGTTGGATAAGGATCTGGTCATCGGCCAAACCAGCGGCAAAGCAGCGGATTAGCAATCCTGGCTCGGGAGACGTTACCAGCTGTACCAGCTTGGCAGAAACCTCGGAATCCAAGCCATTGCGAGTCTCGGTCTTGAGGCCCTCTGAATGTAACTGGTGTCCCAGCTCGGGCAAGGCGCGCATAAGGTATGCCAAGGCGCCCGTCCTCCTGCTATGCCCGGTTATAGAAGCCAGAAAGAAACACTGCCAGAAAAAGTCGTCGCCAGAGGAGTGAGTTAGTGTTATTATCTCGCTTCCTGGTGGGCGGAGGGCGGCCTTGACGCGTTCCATAAGCTTTAATGTTCGCTCAAAGTCCTCGCTAGTTTCCTCCTCGAGACCTGGCAAAAGAGCAAGTATGATCGATTTCAGGGCGGGTCGTAGGGATCGTGGGTTGAGATCCAAGAAGTGACGCTCGAGCAGGTCGAGGAAAGGGGTCCGGACGGACAAGGAGGCGAACGAGAGAACCGAGGCAAGGCCGGGGAGATAGAGGGGCAGGTCTCGCGACAGACCATCCTTGCCAATGACTGTAAATATGAAGTTGTAGACCTCGAGTGTCTTTTGGTGAACACCGGACGGAAGAGACGGGTTCAAGCATTGTGATAGACGCTTTGCGACAGTGGCCTTGGCGGGGATGATGTTGATGGTGGACGGCCGAGCTTGGAGGGCCTTGAGGAGGCGATTGAGGAAGGAGATATAGTCGGCCCATTCTTGGAGGGCTGTATCGAATAGAGAGAGGGCTCGTTCGACGCCGGAAGCGTATTTGCGGTAGTTCTTGTCCTTCGGCGCAACATCGTCTGTCCATCATCGGCCACCTAGTTAGCTACCCAGCTGTACTCTAGTCTCTAGTTGTGTCCATGGAGGGAGAGGAATATGAATTTGACTTGCCATTCCCAAGCTGGTTCCTCCATTGCTTGGGGACTGGAGAGTCACGGCCAGAGCTCTCGGGGGAGATGGACCTCGGCCGGGTGGGATCGAGAGACATGTTTGGTAGCGGCCAGGTGGTGACGGCGATGGTGGGATGAGACCTTGGGAGTCTGGGGATTCGAGAACAGGACGTCCCCTAATCTAGGCAGACTGCTATGGGTCATTGCCGTCTTAAGGTGGCCGACGGGAATGGTGTCCTGGTGTTGAAGTCGCAAAGGTACCCAAACTCGTCTAGGACGTTGAGGTGCTGCAGGCGGGAGCTGTCGACTGTGAGGCTACGTTGTTAAGGTGGGCATCTGTAAGACATATAGTGGAGCAGCGCTGTTCGTGCTGTTCGTCAGCGCACCACTCCCACCCTGCCGTTGCCTGCGCCCGCTAACGGGGTTCCATCCAATCACTGATATTCCCCACTAACACCCAGCTCCAGGGGCGGCCCGCTATCTTATCGCTAACATTTTGGATTCTAAATCAGGGATGGAACATGTGTGACCGCTCTCACTGTCGTCATTCTTCCGATATAACACTTCGGAATTAACGAAATTAATTAATAAGGACGGGGTATAGTAATCTTTATTCCAATTTCAAATAAAGAATATGCCGTCGATAATGAATATAATATTAATAACGACCGAATAAAAATAAATAACAATAGAATACGTATCATTATTAAAAATTAAACCAAAACGAAGCTTTAAAGGGGGTATTTAAAACCGATCTTAAGTAATTAAAATCTTTAATTAATTATTATTACCAAATAATTATTCGGAATCGTTAATAATAACCGGCTTATTATATTTATTTTAATTAATAGGTACGAAGAGCGCGCCTGCCTTTTCTTCTTTGGAAGGTTATTCTATAACCTCTAACTATTTTATAAGCAGTTTAGTAGCCCCTAATCTTGAACTAGCTGTTTTTAAAATATTATGTTCAGGCTACTTCTCCTCTGTGTTTTTTTTGGGCCCCACGAATAAGTATTCGTGGGGTCCCTCGGAGGCAGCTTTTTCAGATTTAGGGTTATTTTAACAACTTTTAAACTTGCAAAGGATAGCAAAATATATAAAAACCGTACCCTCAACAAACCCCCCCGGCAAGCCCCGCCCTGCAGTACTGCAGGAGCATAATTAAATGTGATGGAGACCTTGAGCAAAGGAGGGGGTAGCGAAAATGTAAGATATATTAATCATTCAGTTTTTTATAAAATTAGTACTTAGTTCCTTAAAATCTCTAGATTATTACAAACTAAGCCTATTAACGTAATATTTTCTTACGTATTAGCGATCTCATCCTTCTTCTTGGCGTATCTTTCATGATCGTATTGACGCTGGTATTCCTGCTTTGCCAGACGTCTGGCTTCTTCCACTTCCTCCTCTACTAAGCCTTGATATAACCATTCCATACGACGGACACCATCAACCCAAGCATCGTGAGTACATAATCCTTGATACGATAGTGATGCACCCCATTGAGCATTCGCTAACCTTGTATTGATCGTGCTTGTGTTGTAGTTCGCATAAAACCCATGCGTCAGAGAGGTTTCTAGGATCAAAAATAGAGCTCGAGCTAGCAAGATTAAAAATATATCTATTAGACATGGAGTCGAAACCAAAACCTTTTTATTTAAAATTCAATAACCGTTAGTATACGCAATTATCAACTTTAATGACAAAGCTTAGTTGTTATCGTAATCTTCAAACCTTTAATATACATCGTAATATCTATTAGTCCCGGTACCAATATATATCAAAGGTAGTTCTAGGCTCTCTATAGTTTTATCTTTTTTATCAGCGACTTGGAGTATAGTAAGTTAATCTATAGGTCAGAACGTATTTGCAGGTGATCTGGAAGCAAGTGTCCTCTGGACTTACTGAACCTATTGCTGCAGTCTGACCTTGGAGATTAGACAACTTCTCCACCTGTATTTGCTTTTCAACTTGCTCCGGCTTTTCCATAATCAATAAGTAGACCACAAAAGCATAGTCATTAGTATAGCTAAACTCGGGTAAGGATTTCAGCGACTCTAAAGTCGGCGGATGTAACGCTTTTAATATAGTTCTAAGGTTGGGGGCCCAATATATCTCCAATTAGAATACAATCTCCTACAGTAAGTAGATTAATGGGAGATACTCCCGGACTTAGAGGGGGCATTCGCTGGCGAATAGAGAATAAGCAGTATGTACTCTATTTATTAAATTTACTTCAAATAATGTCTCGGGTAGCGCTTGCGAGTCGTCGCTATTATAGTCAAACCACGATTACTCTTAATCATCGGATATCGCTATAGTTCCAATCTATAGATGAGGACAACTACTGAGAGAAAAGGAACAAAAGCAGAGAGAACCAACACGGAGGGTAAAGCATCAAGCAGCAGCAGCCGTAACAGCAGAGTTTTCCATTCTTCCTGAAGGAAGGAACACTCGACAGAATCTCACCTGTGTTCGGTCCTTCCTGGGGAAGGAACACTCGACAGAATCTCAATGGTGTTCGGTCCTTCCTAGAACGGGCGTTATTAATGCATGGAAACGCCACGTAGATGTAGATGATACTAAGGATGAGAGAGAGGAAGAGTTGAACTTAACGAGCGTGTTACGCGAAGATGTGCTTCTTAAGTGATATTGATAGAGAATGATAAAGTGAGTAGCTGGTTGCTGGACAGAGCAATAGTACGTAACGGTTAACGATAATCTTATTAAAAGAAATTAAAGATAAGCACTATCGAAAGCCTCAACCTAAGACCTTGTATACAACTTTATAGAGTATAAGCAAAATAGATAGTAGGTTAATATAATATTAATTAATCATCCAATTAACCTTAACGGAAGTTACCTAAGTAAATACTCTTATATAATATAATATATTCAATAAAGTATATTTACGTTCAATAGAACGTAAGTTATTACAAAATAGAGCTATCTAAGCATTAGCCCGGAATATCTTATAATAGAGCGACTTAACCTCTTATACGCGTGCTCCGTTAAGGATTGTGTTTTCTCTTAATGTAGTTTGAAATAATGTTGAAATTGCTATTAGGGAAGATTTAGGCAGGGGCATCATAATTTAAGGAAGGCGGTATTATACTAAAATAATTTAGTAAATTAAATTAAAGCTAATTCTCTTACTTAGTAGTTTAGTTGCTATAATATATATCGTGTATATTTTGGTAAATAATGTTCTTTTATTAGATATTTTTTTATAGTAATTTTAAAAATTAATAAACTATTTAGCTATATTAATAATATTATAACGTTATAATTAAAGAAAGGAGAGGCCGGAAGGGTAAATAATAGGGTTACCGTAGGATTTATAGAGGAAATTATTATAATTTACACTTAGAATCTCCGACATAGCTTATAAAAAGATTATAAAATAAAGAACTTAGTAGAAGATAAATAGATATAAGCGTCCTTTAAGCGAAGGGACGTATTATTAAAAGTTTTTTTTTCACTATACGCTAATTTAAATTTCGAACCTATTATTTTAATAAAGTTAAGAAATATAAATATATAATAGAAAGTATAATATTAAAGTAATAGAATATTAGATTACGTTTTTATAATTATTAAATACCAAGTAGAATTTTAATATTAAATTAAATTTAAAGAATTAGAAATATAGTAATTCATACCTATTTAAACCAGTTCGGTTAATTTAATTAGTAATTAGGCGGAGAAATATAAATAAGAAGTAGAGTATTTAATAGTATATAGTATTATTAAGTATATTAATTATATATTTAGAACTGCCGTCTCCTCAACGTATTAAGTATATAATATATATTATAACTACCTAGTTAATATATAAATAAAGAACTAAATAAATGGTCGAGAGCCGGGCCAGACTAGGGCTTTGCGTGTTCATATAGTTTAGCTGCATCCCGTCCCGTTCCCGTCCCGTTTCCCGTCCTTTTGTCTCCTTTCTTCCCTTTCTCTCATCTCAACTTCCCTTTTCAGACTAAAGATCCCCGACATCTCCTTCCCCCGTGGAATGGAGTTCGCGAATAAGCCAGCGGAAAGAGGACACACGCAACCACAAAGAGTGAAAGAGTCCGACAATGCTCAGTTCGACCAGCTCGACATCGGTGAAACTGTCGACGCCGGCCTGCCACAGTTATACTCACAATGGACCGGGACATTGAGGCCGGAAGCAATTACAGTAGCAACAACATTCAAAACAACGAAAGCAACACCGAAGCTGTCGACCATGTCTCTCCCCTACCGCCCCGTCCCAGTCGCAAGTTGTCGGACGATGGCGCATCTGGAGCCCTACACGTAGCGGCCGCTTCCAAGCCCACCACACAAGTGTCGACCATCGACATCTCTACTCTATCCTTCCCTGATGGATCGCGCGGCACTTTCTCGACCAGCGCGACCAGCGCGACGAGATCCGTTGCCTCCCCCCAGTCTAGCGCCAGCGGCTATACCTCCCCGCGCACCGACCCGGCCGAGACCGTGAGCGTCGCGAGCTATCCCGCAACCCTCCGTCCACCTGGAGACCTGGCAGATCTTGTCACCGGCGAGTTTAACAGGCGAAGCCGGGCATGGTCCATGCTGAGGACCCAGTCATCTTCTGTGCAGCCCTTCGAGGCCAGCAGGACCGGCGCATGCGACAGCTTGGCCGGGTTCGAGAAGGAGTTCGATGACATCCCCGAACTAGGCGAGAAGGGCATCACCGACGAGCAGCGGTTATCACTGTGGAAGTCCAAGATGAAACACTACATGATCCTATCCTCCGCCGGAAAGCCCATCTGGAGTCGACACGGCGATACAAGTCTGATCAACTCCTACATGGGGGTCGTGCAGACCATCATCTCCTTCTATGAGGGCGCAAAGGACCCCCTTCTAGGTTTCACCGCCGGGAACGCTCGCTTCGTCATCAGCACCCAAGGCCCCCTTTACTTCGTGGCCATCAGCAGACTAGGCGAGAGCGACGCCCAGCTTCGAAGCCAACTAGACGCTTTATACATGCAGATCCTGTCCACCCTCACGCTTCCGACACTCAAGAACATCTTCGCCCACCGTCCCTCCACCGACCTCCGAAAGCCACTAGAGGGAACCGAATCCCTTCTCTCCTCTCTCGCCGATTCGTTCACCAAGGGCTCCCCTTCCGCCCTCCTCGGCGCCCTAGAATGTCTACGACTGCGCAAATCCCACCGCGCCACCATCAACAACGCCTTCCTCAAGTGCCGCAGCGACAAGCTTCTCTACGGCTTGATTGTAGCAGGCGGCAAGCTCGTCAGCGTAATCCGGCCGCGCAAACACTCGCTCCACCCGAGCGACCTCCAGCTGATCTTCAACATGCTCTTCGAATCCGGCGGCATCCGGGCCGGCGGCGGCGAAAACTGGGTACCGCTGTGTCTACCAGCTTTCAACAACCGCGGCTACCTCTACATGTACGTGAGCTTTTTCGACTCGGTAGACACGGCGGCGGCAGCGGCGGCGGCGGCGGAAGAAAACAACAACAGCAACAACCCAGAACAACCACCACAACCGCCACCACCAAAACCAGCGACTTCACCGGACGAAGAAATCGCCATAATCCTCATCTCCGCCGACAAAGAGTCCTTTTTCGAACTCAAATCCATGCGCGACAAACTCGCCCTCCAACTAGCCAAAAACGGTTCTTTGCAACTCATCCAATCCGCCGCCCGTCAGAGGCGCCCCCGTATCGAGACAATTTTAAACACCAACAACTCTCAATCAACAACAACAGAAGGGCAAATTGGCCAACTAAGCCACTTCCTCTACAAATCCCGAGCAAACGTGCAATTCTGCCAGTCCAGCCTCTCTCCCACCTTCGAGTCTCCTCCTAGGTCATCCCCATCCGAAAAGGATTCAGTGTCATCCCAGAGGAAAACAGAAAAACTAGTCTCCCGCCGCCGCCTAATGACGCTCTACCACCACCTGCACGCCTCGATCCACGCCAAGCACTCGCACTTGAAGGTCTTGCACCTGGTGAGCGAGGACGCGGCGAGCCTGGCCTGGATCACGCCCGTGTTCGAGTTCTACTGCGTGGCGGGGCCGAATATGTCGAGAGGAGTAATGACGCAGTGCGCGAATAAGGTGGCGCAGTGGGCGAAGAGGGAGGAGGAGCGCTTGTTTATTATTGGGGGTGGGGTGTTTTGATATCATTTACGGGGAAGCATTGGGTACGTACTATAATGATTTTCTGGGGTTTTGGTTGCGTGGGTGTGTTTTTGGCATGTTACTTGGTTCGCGCTTTTTGGTTTTCTGGTCATCTAGGGAGATACGATACCACACACATATATCGGTTGTTCTTTCGTATAGGTTGTTAAGCATAGTTCCCGTCATTACTCTTTACCCGGTGGAGAATGAGGGATAAAAGCCCAACTTCCAAGCCAGGATAACCATCAAAGAAAGCCCGCATGGCTCAGTGGTAGAGCGCATCACTAGTCGTTTGGTTGCAGTGTGCAGTGTTGATTTGGGTGCTCTCGTTGTTGGGTGCCCCTGAATAGAGGTACCTTAGGAGTGGATTCGGTTCTTGGAACGAGAAGTGGTCTATACTTCGTTTGGTTGCATGGTTGCAGTGTGTAGTGCTGATTTGAATCGCGCGGCGTATTGAAGGTCGGGTGCTCCCGTCATTGGGTGAAGTGTAGAATCTAATTCTTGGAAGTAGTTTATATTCGCTTGGGCACTAGGTATTAAAATATAAATTCGGTTCTTAGAACATAAAGTAGTCTATACTCGTATAAGTACGACCGTACGAAGGGATTTAAATTGTAAATAACTCTAACCTACAACAACTTTTTAATTACTTACCCAACGAATCCTTGTATTAAAATACTACCGTTTTAGTATTTATATTCTTATTTTTGTAATAGGTTATTAAAGAGCGGTTTAGTCGGTAAGTAGTAATATAGTAAGTTATTAGATTGGAGAGTATTTTAGTCGCTTCTCGTTATAGTACAATAGGTTGTTATTAGAGAGTATTTTAGTCGCTACGCTCCTATTATTATAATAAATTATTACATTAAAACGGGAGTAGTTTAGTTAAGGTATTCGGTTGTAGTTAAGTTCGTCGTTAAAGAATTAGTAATTTGGTCGCTTCTCCCGCCGTTATTATTAGAAGTATATAATAAAAATACTATAATAGGTTTCTATTATTAGAAAGGTAATTTAGTCGTTACGCTCCCATTTTTATTAGTAGGTTATTACTTAGAATTTTTCTTTCGAACGTAGTGAAGTCCCCCCGGGAGAGCCTCTATGGAGTAGCCGCCAGAGGCATCGAGAAGGTCTAGTATATTGTATGGTTACAATTAATTCTTTATACTTCGCTTATAATTAAATACCCTTAAAATTAAACCTCGAAGTATTGCCTGGTTTCAATTTTAGTTCCTACCTCTAAATAGGTTATAGCGAAGATAAGGTCCCGTCGCTACGCTCCTAGTATTGGGTAAATAAGTCGCTGCGCACCCTATTGGCGTACTATAGTATTGTTGGATTGCCCCTATTCGGGGTAGTGGGGAGCGATTTTTTTTTTTTGGGGTAAACCCCAAAAAAAACCCTTATAAAGGTGAGGACGGGGCGGCCCGTTTCCCCCTAAAGGGGGGAAAAAGGGCCGCTCCGTCCTAGGTCGTCAGTTCGATTCTGGCTGTGGGCATGAATCCCTAATGAAGCTCATGATCTTCTCTTTTTGCTGTTTTTCTAGTGATGCCATGGAGTCGTGACTTTTTTGCGGTTTGACAAGTTCCGTCTCTTCACTGGACGGCGGGCGGCAGGTGGATTTGTTGGGGCATATGTAACCAGTTTCCTGTCCGTTTTCCGGTATTATTACTCGACCGTGTGATACTCGTAGCTCGTTGCTCATCTGTTTCCTTGAGCCTTGATACAAAACTGCATAGGTAGACATGAACCACAGATGTATTAACACCTCTCAAGTCGCACTACCTCTGTCTCATGGACAAGTGGACACTGTTACCTAGTCCCTGAACCCAAGTGTATATCTGACTCCCTGGTCTGCCATAACCCAATGCTTATCTCCCCGTAATGCCGTTCATGGGATCATCTTTGTCTGACATGGTGTTGTTAAAAATGCTTCATCCCTCCTTGAAAAGCAGGTGTAGTGAGGAGTATCCGGCTAAAGCCATCAACATCATAAGCTATTAAAACCATAAAACCATTAACATCATAGAGCCATTGGTCTTCCCTCTCTTAAAACATTTCCATCTCTCAATCCGAAGGCATAAAAAAACCTAGGAGAACTGCACAAAAGTGCCCGAAACACACAACTCAACCCCATCATGCAAAGCCGGGGAATGAGAATCCGACTTCTCACCACCCGTTCACCATGCCACCCAGTCAGTCCTCTTAATCCAGCTTAATCGGAGTGTCGGCGCTATACCAACCCATCATCAAATCCTTTCCGTCCTTCTCGTCCTTCTCGTCCTTCTCGTCCTTCACGTTCTTCTCGTCCTCCTTGTCCTTCTCGTCCTTCTCGTCCTTCTCGTCCTTTCCGTTGTCAGAGCCATTGGCGACGGAACTTGCTCGTTCACCGTCGGAGGAGCCATAAGTAGTGACAACTGAACTTGTTCTTTCGACGTCGGGGTCCAAAGCAGAAGTGACACGCTCCCATCCTTCGCTAGGGGCAATCTTGAAGCGAGCACCATCACCACCACCACCACCACCATCACTGGACTCGGGAGCTGTCTTCTTTTCAGGGGTGAGTGGCATGAAAGCGTTAGAGTTATCCCTTGTGCTGGGTGCGGGAAGTGGCATCTTTCTAGCCGCTTCCAGCAATAACTCGATAGAGTCTCTTGCAACCTTGCTACTTGTGAACTCATCGATGGGCTTTCCGTTGAGCGCTTCGTTAGGGCTGTAGGTGGAGGGACCACAAGTCCCACGCGGAAACAAAGGAGTGAAACCGTAAGTGTCGGGGGTTGGTTCTTCAGCGGTGAGTTCGATGTAAGTGACGGGAATCTCTTTTTGTTCTCCCTGGTGTTTTCCTCGTTGTTTTCCTCGGTGTTTTCCTTCCGCAGGATACAAGTAATCGTCGCAGTTGTCGGGAATGGGGCGAAAGCCGTTAGTGTTCTGATTCCGGGCAGACTCAAGGTTGGAAGAATTCTTCTGGTCCTCACCAGAGGGAGCGGAGACATCTGGGTCATCAAGATCGTCAATACCGCAATCATCTGGATATTGAGCAGCCATGCTTCCCTCAGATGACGGTTTGTTGACGGTTCCAAAATCATCCTGAGCGAGACCTGTGGGTTGCCGCAAGGGGTCAAATTCAGATGGGCCGTTCAGGGCGTTATGGATGGACTCGTAGTACTGTAGACCACAATCTTCGGAAACGCACAAGGGTAGTCGAGTCGTGCGCCAGTTTTGCTCCCAGAGAGGGTCTTTAGCGTTCATGTTCTCCACCCATCTGCAAATCCCGACGACGCTGTGTCCGGTTTTGCTCGCCAGCTGTCTTGCTCTGAGCACCAAGTCAATCTCCTCGGCCGTATAGAGACACTCTTCCTTTTTCTCCTCGTTTGAAGGTGTAGGATTATCGATGGGCAAGTTGTTGGCACTCCTAGTTTCCGCCAAAGCGCTTCCCACTATGGACTCAAGGAGCTTTACCCAATACACGCACAGAAGGCTGAGTAGGAAGACGGGATCGAGGTGTAGCTGCGCTCCGGTACGAAGTTTTCCGCGGATAAGTTTCGGGGAATCCGTGGAAAGACGTCTGGACAGCAAACGAACGAGATCAGCATTTCTTCTTTGAAAGGCTTGACGGACTTCCTACCTGATCATGAAAGCTTCTCGGTAATGAACATCGAGGAGTAGAAGACCGAGGGCAAAGATGTGGGCGGGCCAGAAGAAGAGTGCGAGAAGTGGCTGGACGTCTGAGCAGTCAAAAGTAAAGAGAAGGAAGCGGTAGATGAGCGCGCGAGCAATGAATACAATGCTCCATGATGAACCAGGCGGGTTTTTGTCCTCTCGTTTGGTCTCGGTCTGCTCTAGGGCACTGCTCTTTTCTGTGTCGCCCAGTGTCGAGGATGGAGATTGATGGAAATCGGCGACCTGGAGAGTGGCAAATTAATCCAGATGTTAGAACGTGTTTTGCGGACGATATGGAAGCGTGTGTCCTCTGGACTTACCGAACCCATCTCTGCGGTCGGACCTTGCAGATCAGATGATGATGAAGTTGACGCTATCTATCAGATGAGCTGTTGTTCGTATCGTTGCTTTGGAAGCGAGATGTGTAATGGAAGATGGGAATCTCGGACGAAGTTCCCGCACGAAGTTTGAAAATTGAACGGTCGAGAAAGTGAAGGGTCAGAGATTTTTATAACTGAGGAGAACACATGTCGGCATGCTCGATGATGCGGCCCTGCTTACCACTGCTGCTGCTCAAACTGGGAGTCTCAACAACGGGTGCATGGTACTTCCCCAAGACAGTGCAATGCTCCTACCTCGTAGAATAAGAACTGTACCGTAGAAGAGGTCCTTCTTTCCTCTGAACCTCGCCGAAAGAGTGAAATTGCCCACAACTGGTCTGGGCCTAGGAAGCTTCAGTCCAGAAGAGAAGACCGAGCCTGCATTTCGGTTCTTCAACATCTATCATGTTGGTTATGCATGATACTGATTGCGGATCCACAGCCGCAGAGGAAGTAGAGACCTCAATGGTAACTCATCAGTGAGCACTAGCCGAGGTGATGTCGTATAGCCCGTAGTCAGTAGATCAACACGACTTCAAGATGATGGATATCAAAAACATCATGAATAGCTTTTGCAAATTGGGGTATCATACTGTACTAACCAAAAATCAACCTCCCAATCCTTCCCACATCCCCCCTAACCTACTCGCCAGGTCTCGAAGCGCCTCCTATTTTTGCCTGCTACCTTCTGAAAGGTCAGACAGGCAATGAATTCAAGCCCTGACAAGTAACCCCCCCTCAAACCCTCCACTACAACCCATACCGAACCAAACACTCCTCCCTATGCGCCTCCAGACACTCCAAAGCACAAACCCTCGCCCCGCACTTAATGCACTTCACCCGTCCCCAATACCCACACACCTCGCAAAACCTGCGAACCGGGTATCTGCCCTCCTCCTCCTCGGTCCACTGCGCCCGCGCCTCGAGGTAACTCAGCGGCGGAGCCGTCATCAGCGCCCGCAGCTCCTCGTCCGTGGGAAAGGGAGGGACGCGCGAGATCAACAAGGGGTCGTCGTCGCCTGGGTGGGGAGTGGGTGGAGGTCGGTTGTAGGGGGGGAGGATGGTGCCGTCTGGTGGGTAGGATTGGGGTTTTGTTGGCTCTGGTTCTGTTGTGGTTGTCGCTGTTGTTGTGGGATCGAGGGATGTTGAGGCAGAGGGGCGTGGTGGGAGTGGCTCTGAGGAATCGGGGCCGGTGGTGGCTTCTGCTATGTTTGGGGATGGGAGGGCGGTGTCGGGGGCGTCGATCATCTCTACATCGTCATCGTCATCGGCGGGTTTCGATTGTGGTTGGGTCTTGGACTTTTTGTTGGATCCGCCCTTCTCTTCTTTTGCTGCTGCTGCCGCTGCCGCCGTCGCCGCCGCCCTCTTGGAAGCGGCTGAGGAACGTTTGTTTGTACTTGCGGTGGTGATGGTTGATGGAGCGGGCGAGTTCCTCGCTGTTGTTGTCGGTGTTGGTTTGTTTACTTGGGCTGCGAGCTGGGGATTGCTCTCGGCCAGCGCCAGGAACGCTTGGTAATCGTCCAAGTGGTTCGCGAAGGTCTTTTGTGATTGTAGAATCTTGCGCACGTTCGGTGTGTGTTTGTTTTGAGCTGTTCCAACACCATACCATGTCAGTTCCGTGATCTCTTCTGCATATGAGGTTTAGACGATTGCCCACCTCTTGTGCCACCCGCCTTGGGCGGTATAGGAATCTGCGCATCCCTATGTGAATCTCTGTCCAGCGCCTCGAGATCTTTCCGGATCTTCGCATCCTGTCTGGCAGTAAGATCGGGAGCGCCGACATTAGCCTTATCTCGCGCTGCACGTTTTCGGTTGAGAGGTTGTAGCGCGGCGGCCGCGGCGGGCGTAAGGCCGGTATCTGGGACGTACGCCCATCCTGGGGCGTTTTTCGTCTTTTGACTGGCGACTTCGATGACGCCAAAGTTGTTCATGGTGTTTGTGTCTGTGTGGGGCGTTAAAGAGATGGGAAATCGGGCGTATCTCAAGTTCGGTGAGGTGGGATGGCAGAAGTCAAACGGTGATGTAAGAGGGAAGTTCAGAATGGGGAAGTTTTAGATGGGCCGAACCGCGTGGCGCGTTTACCGTGCTAGGCCGGGGTCCGGGGTCGCTATAAAACGGCGCGAGATCACCGGATCTGCCAAAGCTACCCCTGAATGTCTGCTCTAGCGCAGGGTCACCCAGTCTACGAGTTTATGGAGGAAAGCCAATGGGAGAGCTCTTTGAGCTTTGTCTGACAGCTCCTTCAGAGCTCTTGTACTTCGACAAGGTGAGAAAAGGTGTGATCATGGTTACTGACTTTATACCCACAGAATTGTCCAGTATTAAGTGTACCAATGATGAGAAAACCCCCTTCATTGTCAATTCCAACTTTTTGGTTCAAAGCACCAAAATTTGATGTACAACGAAAGCTCCGACTGCCACCAGGGCAACGCTCTCCCCCAGTTCGAACCGTGAAATGACTTCCACCTCTCACTTCAATTTTTGATATCAATAAACCCCATTCCCCATCCTTAGCTCGAATTTTTGTTCTCCACGTAACGATTGACTATGCGCCATATCGTCAAGCTATTTTCCCCATTCTTTATCGTCAAGACATCGATTACTTCCTCTTCCTCTCCAACACCTCCATCTTCTCCTCCAAGGTAATGAGGGTCTTGCCCAGCCTGTCGACAGCGTTCTGGAGAGCCTGTATTTACCAAATGTCAGCACTCTTTCTGTCTTCCATCTCGATTTTGTTGTTGTATGTCCACCTACGTAGATATCCCCCGTCAAGAGCTCGTTCGAGGCCTTATACTCTTGGAGCGCATAGTAGTAGACGGCACTGCCGGCGAGAGTGCTACCGAAGAAGAAGCCGAAGAGCCTGTGTCATGGTGTGCACGTTAGCATACCTCGTTTCCTGCCAGAGCTTATGCGTTTTATGCCCTTTCCCGTCCTTTTCGCCAGCTCTCTCTCTCCCAGCCTGCCTGCCCCTGTGTTGAAAACGTGCAGTCCTCTGTCGCAACTCGCACCCCGTCGCATCCCACTGAGCAGTCATTCCCATTCAACCTCCCTCTTCTTCCACCAGCCACTTTCCTACCGCCGTTTTTCGTCACTTTATGATGGGTCATCCCTCGCCCAGCTTTCGTGCCCCGCTTCCATGCGCCGCCCATTACGCAACCTTCCCTTGCCCACGCCGCCAACCTCCCACCCCATCTATCTCCCACCCGATCGCATACCCAACCCAAACCGATTCCAAATCCAAAACAAAAACAACAAGAGATAACTCACCCCCCACGAAAAGCACCAACAGGCTTCCTAGCAGGCAACGGCGGCGCCACGCCCGCACCGGGTACTCCAGCGCTGGTAGTCGTAGCGACAGACTCGAACCTGCGCGCTGATGTCTGCAAGCCGCGGCGGAAGGGGGTGGATAGGAGTCTGGAGGCCATTTTTTGTTTCGTTTATTGTTTGCTTTTGTTCGGTTGAATTGGAGTTGCGCGTGTGATTGCGATTGCGCCTGCTTTTCGTTTCGTTTCGTTCGGTCGTAAATGCTCGTCGTACTCTGATGGAATCGGGAATTGAAACTTTCGTGGTGATTTGGGTATCGATCGATTCGCTGATTCGTTTGTGGAAGGGGGGAATGGCGATGTTTAAAGCGACGGCGGTTGCGAATGAAGCTGCCTGGGGAACTGAACCCAAACCAAACGAACCGGAGAAACGACGTCAGGCCAGTATCGCCAGAACGGGGTGGGCGCCCCCGTGGGAACGGCCAACGACAGGGATCTTGAGTGGTGGGTGCAATTGAGCCAATCAGTGCGAGGGAAACAATTGGGCGGGGTGTGGAGGCAGAATATCAATCGGCTTGATACGGTGGACGTGTCCTTGCCGTGATAACTGATAAGGATCGCGATAAGGCCCTCAAGGTGCAAGCTTGGAAGACAAAGAGGCGGAATGAAACAAAGGATAACAACACTTATCAAAGCATCACGAATAGAACAGATTGATGTTGTGCGTTTTTTTGTAGATTCCGCTAATAACTGAAAGACTATATTGAATTCCCTCAAACATGCCTTTTGGTATCTTACTCCCAGATTCCCGAAAATTGCTACTGTTGCCCAACCAAAGACCATGTTCCCAGTGAAACCCATAAATGATGATGCTATTAAATACTTAATGTCGTCTCGACTGAAACCCTTTAGAGCTCATCGTGGCTGGTCTCCTTGGCGGGCTCCTCAACGGTGCCAGTCTCGGTGGAGGAACCAGACTCGGCGGAAGCGGCAACGGACTCCTCGGCCTCATCGGAGGGAGCAGCCTTGTACTTGCCGTTCTCGGAGATGAACTTGATCAAGTCCTCAACGGTGCGGGAGCCAGAGTACTCAACGGGCTTGTCCTTGGCACCGGCAGCGTAGAGCTTGATGGTGGGGAAGCCCTGGATCTCATCGGGAACGTCGTTCAGGGTAGCATCAACCTTGGCAATGACGACCTTGTCCTTGAAATCGGAGTTGGCATAGAGGGTAGCAAGCTCATCGTACTTGGGAGCGAGAGCCTTGCAGTGACCGCACCAGGGAGCGTAGAACTCGATAAGGACATCCTTGGTATCATCAAGGACAATGTCGTTGTAGCTCTTGGCGACAACGACGGTGACGGGGCCCTCCTGGGTCTCGGGGATGGGCTCAGACTTGATCGAGGGCTCGACCTTGCCAGCAACAAAGTCATCAACGAACTGCTTGATGGAGTCGGCGGTGATCTCCTTCTCCTGGTCGAAGGGGAACTTCTGGTTCTTGGTGGTATCCTGGATGGCGAAAGCGGGGAACTTGTCGGTCTTGAGGTTCAGGTTGCCGGCGTGAGCACCGAAAGCCTTGGCGTCAATGGTAGCAAAGTTGATAACACCACGCAGGGCCTCAGCGATGGACTTAAGGGCCTCGCTAAGCTCCTTGCGCTCCTCGGGGGTCTCGGCGAAGATGTACGCGAGGGGAATGCCAGCGGACATGTAGCCGGCATAGGTGTCGGGGCCAACCTCACCGATGAGGGGGGTGGAGGCGGTCTTGGCGAACTTCTCAATGGCCTCGGCGTCGAACTTCTCAGTGAAGACAGCCTTGCCCTCGTCGAAGTCCTTGTAGAGGACGATGGCAGGGGCGGTGACACCCTCAGCCTCGGCGAGAGCGGCATCGCTGCTGGCACCGAAGGGGTACTCGTCGCGGAGCTTATCGGCGACCTTGGAGAAGGTCTCGTTGGAGGCCTTGTCAGCAGCGTCGAAGTAGGCGACAATGACAACCTTGTCGGCCTTCTTGAACTCCTCAATGTTGTCCTTGGTGAGGGCAGAGACGGAGGGAAGGGACTGCTTGACCATGTAGGAGGTGATGGCAGCAGCCTTGCGCTGGCCCTTGTAGGGGGAGACGATGTCGAGGCCACGGAAGACTTTGAGGGTAGGGTAACCCTCAACGCCGTGCTGCTGGCACAACTCGGACTCCTCAGTGCAATCGATCTTAGCGAGCTTGATGTTCTTCTCCTTGAGGGTGGTAGCAGCCTCCTCGTACTCGGGGGCAAGGGCCTTGCAGTGGCCGCACCAAGGGGCGAAGACTGGAGAGCAAGACTGTTAGCAAGAGCTACATAAGAAGCTGAAATCGAGGGAAGCTTACATTCAGCAAGAACAATGTCGTTGGTCTTGACGAAGTCATCGAAGGTGTCCTTCTTCAACTGGATAACATCGGAGGCAGTGGCCACGGCGGCGGCCGCGAGAAGCCCGAGGGCGAACTTGGTAGGGGCGTGCATGTTTACGTTTCCCGGCTGTCTGGGGAAGCGGAGTTAGTTGGAAGTTGGTATATAGAGAATGATGCTTGGGGATTGTTGATTCCCAAAGCCGTCTTCTTGGGGGTTTTATAGTGGAACAGGAGAGCACGGAGGTGAATGGGTTGTTCAACGGGAAGGACGTAGCTCTGGCGGGGCCGCAGCACAAAGGCAAACGTGGGTAGTGGATACCACTTACTCTGGGCTATTTAAAGGCAGAAAAGGGGCCTGGGATATGGGAAGAACTGGGACCGGTGACTGAGAGAAGTTGAATAAGATGGAAAATGTCCCGGAAACAGAGGGGAGGCAGACGGCGGTGGTGAAGGCGAGAAGGGGGATCTGCCTTTTAATGTCCACGGGTTTTATCTCCAGCCCGTGTTTATAAGCCAGGTTGCTTCTGTCGGTCGAGTGTGGACAGGTGTCTTCTCCGCCACTACGAAAATGGTACACGCCAGTGGTCAATCAGCCTTGGGGCCTGCTGAGTGGCCAGTGGGCGCTGCAGGGCGCCAGGGTCAAAGAGCTCGCTCGCGGGGCCGGCGGCTGATGGAGGGGTGGGGAAGCCGATCCGCCGCGAGGGGGAGAAACATCCGACACTGTCTGAAAGGGATCCGATGCCAGGGGCGGCGACTTTGTCACTATTCAAACCTGGGAACAGGTGGCATTTTGCTGTTTGTTGGTTTCATATCGGATCATCAATTGGACGCGTTACCATTTTTCTATTGTTGTTTTCCCATCTTCATCGCAATGGGTGGGAGGAAAGTAAACAAAAAGTAAACATTCACCTGCTGAACGAACCTTCTTCCACCAACCTTCCCAAACAGCTGGCCACTGTTTCCTCGATATCAATCCCATCCTTCCGTTCGTGCACCAAAACCCCTATTTCCGCCCCGTAGACCCCGTAACGACCATCTTGCATCACTGGGGTTCCATCAAAATGGAATGGGCAGATCTTCCCCGCAAGCCAAGAAGCACCATTTCTGTGCCGCCTGCCGTAACGCCGTTCCTTCAGGGTAGTCTCAGGGACCGAAACTCCACTGGATGGCAGTACGGGACCGTATCCGTGGTGCAGTGCTTCCGTCTTCCCCATCAGGCAACTTGAACCACATCTTGCCACGAGTCCATATCGATTGCAGCCATTTCAAGTGAGGTGTGCTCTGCGAGTGCGGTGCCCTTTTGATGAGCTGACGAGCTTGATCAGCTGAACTGGGAGGATCCGAGTTTTGTGTATAAATCCAGCAAGATCCCACCTCGCTATCTATCTTGTCAGCTTCGGATTTTTTCGGCGGAACTTTGCTGCCGTTTCCAAGTCAGCACTCAACGTGGCTGGACTGTGTATACGAGCGCAATAGCACAGTGCGTTCGGAAGAAATCCGACCATATTCCGTCGGGTATTGTCGTCGTTGCCATGACAATGCACGTGCGTGCAGAAAAGCCGTTGGAGTAGCTGATGATGGCATCGTTTAGGATGGTCGGCATTGACCCAAGCTGGTCATGTCGGCCTTTACATTACCTGGATCAGTGAGGCCTAGTCTTAGTCCCAGAGCTTACATATTACAGGCGCTGACATTGAACAGATATCAGGATGGCGTTTGATGCTTCAGATCAGGGCCGTATTTGAAAGAAACGGTGCCATGAGTGGATGGGCTAGCCCTGGTATTTTCCTTGATATATCAAGAACCCGCTGATGTTCATGGAATTGCGATGCGCCGATTATTGTTGCGGCTCTGCGAAGGAAAATAGATTGCGTGATGGTGATGGAAGAATATCGTTAAAACGATGTGATCTTGCGGGCAAGTGCCTGTAAATGGAATGGGTTCAATTTCGATATGTCGAGACAAACAGACAAGTGTCTCTTGCGTGGGCGAATCCTTCAAAGGCAGGTCGAATGGAAGCAGGAAGAAAGAAAATAAAGGCATATTCTTGTGTCATCGACTCTAGCGGGTCAGAATTCTTCATACAGATGGCGAGGTCGAGCGGCTCGGGAAATAAAGGAAGGGATGACGGGATTCTCGAAGATGGAAAGGCCAGGACCAGCACGGGCAATGACCGTCTGGGTTCAATTAAGTTGGATAAAATCTCGGTGGCCGGGAGCACTGGTTTCGAAGTCGGTCCCTTGGGATTGGAATGGGCTCCGAACATCGTGTCGTCCCTTCCTCCCTTGTCTTAAGCTTGGTGTCTTCAATGGCATCCGATTCATTCATATGGCAAGCGCGGGATGAAACCGACCACGGCTGCGAATGGAAATGCAACAACACCTACCCGGGTGACATATGTGCTTTCCTTCACTGAGCAACCCGACACCAAACACAGGTTCGAGCTTCAGACGAAATCTCTTCCATGGCCCAGGGAGCACGACTATCTTCCGCCGACCACCGCCGACTTTACCATCCACCGACTACACAGCGATCAAGTCTCCAGTCCCCCGATGGACCTGGAGATGGCGACGACAACAACACCCACGCGAATCTCGAGGCTTTCCAGTCGTCTCTAGAGACTCTAAACCGCGTCGTTGCTTGGTTTCCTTGGTCGGGTGGTTTTTGGGGCTTCCAGCAACATCGAGGAGGCAACAGCTTTATCCCTTTTTGGAGTGTTAGTGCAACAGTTAAACAACCAGCACTCATCTTCCAATTGGATACTCAATCATCTGCTCGGAGTCGCTAAACCTACTCGTTCTCATGGACCAGGTGCGGACGGCAAGACGTGCTGCCAGCCATGGCACTCTCGGTCGCAAGTATGCTGCGGATGCTGGCAGGAATCCTGGAATTCCTTCGCCTCACGCCTTCTCTCGGCCTCTACGAAGTCTTAACGGGAGCGCGGGCATCTTGCCATCACCAGGGCCGCTCGAGAGTATGCTGAGGACAACAACGGAAACTGGAGATATTGGCTTGTTTTCTATCAGGCCAGTCAGGTCAATTTCCGCTCTTGACATCCCATGTCCTCCTACACCCAGCCGTCATGGACCATCGAAATCAAATTCCACGCCTCGCTTGACAGCCCCAGTACGAGCCAGGACCCCGTTGAGCAACACAGTTCCCAGAAGACCTTCGACCAGCGACAGCTTTGATACCCACAGCAGCCTTAGAGACGATCGGAGATGTCTTCCATCGTACCGAGATACCGCTTCAGAGATCATCTCAATGTATGCCTCTGACAGTCAACGATCTGCCCATAGCCCATTCTCGCCTAGATACCACGATGACCAGCGGTCGTTTTCCATGACGAGCTGCAGTTCTCGAGCGCTACCCAACAAGTCATCTACTGGGACCATGCAGAGCCAAGCCAGCGGTCCGGCTCTACAGAGACCTCGCTCCCCCTTTCCCTACCCAACCAGGCTTAAGCGCCCGGGAGTTCGACCTTCCTCTCCCGCCGTGACAGAGAGTGGCGCTGTGGACTATAGTAGAATGGTCGAGATCGACCGTGTTTCTCAGGTTTGCTACCTTCCCCCTATATCAAATGTACCTCTACTAACACCTCCAGCGAACCATACATGGGTCGTATAAGCCCATGTACGCTCATTATGGTCGCAGGCCAGGACCCGCGATGTCTCGACTCCATCCATACGGATCCGTTTCGTCCCTCTCAAGCCACAATTCTAGGCCCGGTCCTAGACCCTACGCTAGGACGAATTCCAGTGGCTCCTCTGCTTGGGGCCCAGGACTCCGTAGGCAGCTTGAAATGGAATCATCGGACCAGAGTACGAGAACCCCAAGTTTGACTTCGATCGTCGATATGTACCGCTCGCCTTCAGGTACTTCATCTGACTTAAGATACGGGTCTCATCGACCGCCCGATGGAACATTTTACTACGACTACTCGGAGGACTTTGATACTTTCCCTGATGGCAATCCCGCATGGACTGGACCTTTGGCTCCGGTTCCAACTCGAGCACCCAACATGCACAGAGCGAGGATACTAAGTGATGGCAGTGTTGGTCCCTTCCAGGACATGAACCGCTTTCCTCCACCGGATGACGTCTACGAGAGTCCCCAATATTACTCTGTGGGAACAAAGACAATGAAGATCCACGAGTCGAACATTACTCCTGACTCGATCGAGGAAAATGAAGGTGAAGAAGGTTCATTCGAGTTCCCTGATGATGAACCACCTAGCGGTCACATGGTAGGAAGGAAAGATCCCAACGGAGCCACAAATGTGTCGTCTTCGCAGGCTGCAGCAATGTCCAGTACCGGAAAGAGAAAGAATTGCCACGATAGTGACGCTAGTATGTCAGAAAAAACGGACGATCTGGCAGTGGCAACAGCGGAGAGTCCAGACGAACAATCGAAGTCTGATGTGAGGCGGGTAACGGTGCATGAAGGGAACGACGGCCCGGAAGAAGGCGAAGATGACAACCAAAGGTCAAGCTTTGGCAACAATACGATCAACCTACCTCGAGCAGAAGATCCCTTGTCAGCGAGAACCTCCCTTTACAGATCGAATTCGGAACCTCTCGATAAGCGTCAATCGTTCCGCTTGAACACAGGGGAAAGAGTTCCGTCAACATTCAGTGGTTACTTGCGACGGAGCAAGTTCTTCTCGATAGAGCCGGGCCTGTCTGATCTTGCATCTCTTGTAGATTATCTCGACATTGCTGCAAAATCAGCTTCTGAAGATGATTACCTGCCAAGCCCGAATCTGACGACGGACTTCCCGAAGTCGTCTGCAGAGCCTGGGGATCGGATGTCGGCCATTCAGTTCACACCAGACTCTCAGGACAACCAAGACGAGCCAGACCAGGCTCCTGGTTTTGAAGAGCGCCTTAGGACCAAGAGTCCTCAACCCTTTGGGCATAAAAGAAAGGTTGCTCTGCCCAGGATCAGGACTAGTGGATTCTCGATGCCATTCTCCCCAGATACTGCTTGCACCACCAGTCGGTCAGAGCCCTTTATACTGCAGCCTTTACCAGTCTCGCCGGCCAAAAGGCTCCGACTGCAAAACAGTGTCCCAAAGCTCATGAAAGCATTGCCAGATCTGCCGTCCAGTCCGGCTAGAAGTGAGCCTTGCCTTTACAGCACTTCATGTGGCACACGGGGAGTTCCGAAACGTTCCTCACCATCTATCCGCCCAGACATACCCTTCGAAAGACCTCAGGAGAATACACAGGAGCCTAGTTCTGGTGTCAAGGCAACAATGATGAGGGCAGCCGATCCTGAAGATACGACAGTCCCTAATAAGGACTTTTTCTCTCGAGACTCGGTTAGGAACAGCATGAAGCTGAAAGTTTCCAGAGCTGCCATGATTAGAGCACAAGAGGAGTTGAAGAAACTTCAGAAACCTATCCTCGTAGAGACCGCAACACTGGAGCTTACATCCCCACCAGAAGTGTCGGCGTTCTCTTTTCAGAAGGGATGCGGCCCAACTATGTTGGATACCGTCAGTGTTTCTGACAGGCACGGAGTAGGCTGTGGGACGTGTACAGAAGAGAAAGCCTTTATCCTTGCATCTGCAGCTTCAACTCCTGTCACAACGTCGTCAAGATTGCATGGGCAACAAGCCGCAAGGAATCATGTGGCAGATTCCCGGTCGGTCAAGACTATCCGTCCACTATCACCTTGCGAAATACGGAGTTCATTCTCTGTCAGCGACCGTCACCCGCGTCTACCCAAGAGAACTCTATCTCGTATCCGAGAACGGCTTGGCCAACCCAGATCACGATCGACCGAGCCTTTGACGTCAAAAGACCGCAGCAAAGAAGCTTGTGATCACATCTGTCCGGCTTCACCAGTCACAACTAGCTACATCAGACAGAAAAATACGTCGACGAGTACCGCCTTACCGGTAACTGACGGAGAGTCAAGTGACACTGCCAGGCCACAGTCCAGAGGCTTCAGGAAATGCATGTGTAAGTGGATGAGGACAGCAAGACAGGCTTTCTTGGTGGCATGCACCGGTTCAACGAACCCCTGATGATGTATTGGCTGTAACGGGTCGACTCAACACGCGGTCTATGACCGTCTCAAATCTTTCTATGCTTATCTCTGGAGGGGGCATGTGGTTGCTCTGACAACCACACACAGCCTTTCTCCCTGATTAAAAGTTCTACAATGTCTTATTCGACCCATCTTCATGTTAGCAGTTGGGAGATTTGAGTTACTGTAGAGAGCGATTGTATGTTTAGAATATGGCTAGAGATATCCATGACTCCAAATCATTGGCCCATGAGCAGACGAACGATTTTGCTTCCGATTGTGACTGCTAAGTTGAACTTTGATCGAAATTTTTGACATCCGTTTGACGATCTTCCATTGTTATAAACTCGGACTAGAGACATAACAGCCATGATGAAGATTTTCTGCGATTTGAACGTAATGATGAAGCAAACAGAGGTTTGCAGTTATTGTTCTGTTAAAGGTAGCTATCAAAGGGACTGTGATTTCATTACTCTGCCAGGTTGAGAGACGTCAGCTTGAGAATCACTTCGATCGGAACCAAAAACTCTTGATTAAGTACTGAGCCGTATACGCGCATTGAAAATCAATACAAGAAGAGAAAACGCCACGTCAAGTCACAACATACGCAAAGACTTTGTGTAACTGAGATTTGGCACTCCTGTAACGTAGCGGCACAGCAGCCGAACAATATCCCTATATGGTTCAAGATGATTTCCTTCCCGTCCAGGTTGTCAATGTCAATGTTGGTGTTTTCGTTATCCGACCTCACCAACCTGATCTAAGACCTAGAAACGTGCACCATCTATGACAGAAAACCGATATATCAACCATCATGCCCCATCATCCCTCTTTCATTCCACCTCTTCCAGCATCATCCTGTCATCAACCAGACTCATGACAGCGTCTGTCTTCAACAAAGACCAATCCAACATGAAACTCTCACCCAACATCCCCACAGCTCTCATCCTCACCTTCCTCTTCTCCCTCCAAGTCCCCCTTCGACTCGCCGCCCCGTTGTCCCACGACAAACTCTTCCCCGAACCCGTCATACCCCTGACCCTCCCACAAATCCACTACGAAAAGATCGACAACGGGCGCATAGGCACACGACATAGTAACCCCAATAGCAACAAGGACTTCCCCTCTCCCCTTCCTCTCCCTCTTTCCGCCCCTCCTGCCCCTCCTCGTTTAGAGAAGCGCGGCGGAAACTCATGGGATGCTGCCACCGCCCAGCTCAAAAGAGGGATTAATCATCCATCAACCACAAGACAACCACAATCCAGGAGCAGCAGGCCAGGCCGTTACCCCCGACCTTTAAAACATCTCTTCGCCCACTCTTACCACCACTCCTCCAGCGGCGGTCGGGGTGTTATCGACTCCGACTCCGACTTCGATCCCAACAACTTAAACCCGATCAAACGCACACTCACCGAAGCAGCCGACGATGACCTCAACCTGAACAACTTTGACCTCTTCAGCAGCAGCGGGCTCGGCGGCGGTGGTGGTAACCTCCTCAAAACCATCACCATCGAACCAACGCTCACCATCAACAGCACGAGCATACAGCGACTTGGTCCTCCCCCTGCCCCAGGGCCAGGGGCAGGGTCGTATCTTGCTGCTATGAACATAGGTGGCGCTTCTCCACGGCCACGGGAATCTACTCCATGGGAAAGAAGAAGATCTCGTGGTGGATGGGAGGAGGGGAATGAAAGAGGGAGTGAGATTGAGAATGAGGCGACTGCTGGGAGTTTTATGAACAGGCGGGTTAGTAGGATTGAGAAACGCCGCGGAGGTGAAACGACTACGGGGAAGAAGGACAAAAATGAAAAGAGAGGAGAGAGTGAAGAGAGGACAGAGAGGGAAGAGGGCAGAGCGGGAAGGGGAAGTAGAATCCACGGAAGGTATCATGAGGCACTGACGAGTGTTGCTGCTGCTGCTGCTTAGGTTTTGGTTGAGAAGAACCGTTTCTTTTGTTGTTGGAAGACAAGAGTAGGAGCTGGATTGGCTTGGTATATAGGAAAGGGCGTTAAGTACACAATGAATTAGGTTCTTTTAATTCCAGAATGGGAATATGATGGTAGAGAAGAGAATCACCTTGCGAAGAATATGAAACGTACACTCACACCACATAGGCTTGGGCATGATGAGGCCCGCTAAGCAGCGATTGAACCAATAGTATGTTTTCAACTTCGAAAGGGGGAGTTGTGATTAAGTGCCCATCAAATTCCCTTCAACATGGAATTGATGCTTCACCCGACACTTCCTCGCTTCCGCTCCCCACAAACACCGCACACACCACAGTCCCCGGCATTCCGATACTGACTCCCCTGACATGTCTGACTGGTACATGCCCAGGAGCCTACCACGTTCTTCGGATCAAGGACGTTGGCACAGATCGTGCAGGTTATGCAGGTAGGCTCATTGGCGAAAGAGCAGATTGGACAGGTTCTCGAGGATGGAGGTTTTGGTTCGGCTTCGGTGGTAGAATTGGATAATGCCGAGAAGGGTGTGTTTTCTTTCCTTTGGAGTGGGCTTTTCGGCTCAGGTTTCACCCCTGGGGACATCTCTCTTGTTGTCGCAGAAGTATGAGTGTTGTTCGTACTTCGGACGCTGGATCTGACTTGTGCAGCCTTCTGTCTCGGGTCGTCCTCCAAATTTGTTTGGCGGTTCCTTTGCGATGTATCTGGAGCTTGGATGATACTTTCCGGTATCCTGGTATCCGTTGACGACGGTTCGGCCTTAACAACTGGCAGCCGAGGTGTTGAATTCCTTGCGCCGTCATTGAAACCCATCAACTCCCTCAACTCCCTCTGCGCATCCTGATCCTCAGGATTCTCATCCTCACAAACTTTGATCATTCCCCTCCCCTTACCATCCAGCAACTTCTTCCCGTTGATATCCACAGCAGCCACACCATCCTGCTCGTCATCATCTTCATACTCATCACTCTCCGTCCCACTGGCCGTCTCATCCTCATCAACCTCCTCCTTCTTGACCTTCTCCTCTTCCTCCTTCTCCTTCTTAAGCCCCTCAAACCTCGCCAGCGCCGCCGCAGCCCTCAACTCCCTCCCCCTCGCACTGCCCGCCACCCTCGGCTTCGCCGCCACCTTCTTCCCGCCCTCCAACTCCTTCTTAACCTTCTCATCCTCCCCCAACTTGACCCCATTCGCCCCAAACTTCTTCAAGATCCTCCGTTCCTTCTGCTCCTTGTAACTCAACTTCGGTTTTGGGGCCTTGGCCTTCCTCTTCCTCCCTCGACTCCTATACGTCCCACCACACAAATGCTCCGGCAGCCCCTCGCCAGGCTGCACCGTATTCCTCTCCCACTCGCCCGTCGCCAACAACGCTCCCCGACCCCATAGCCCCTCACCCGTGTACCCCCTACCCCAAAGCAGGCGCATCTCGTCGGCGTAGGCGTTGCGCACGGCCCAGAAGGCGCGCGAGTGGTTCATCTGCTTGCAGTGGGCGAGCTCGTGCATCATGACCATTTGCACGTAGTTGAAGGGCAGCCAGTGGCCCGAAAGGGATTTGAGGACCAGCTGGATGACTTCGCCGGCGTTGAAGTTGCGGCCGACGAATTCGCGGTTGGGTTCGTACTCTTCGAGGGAGGTGATGGAGAGGTGGTTTGTTTTCATTATGGGGACTGGTGGCGAGAGGGAAGTATATTGGGTTAGAAGGCCACCACGGGTAGATGTTGTGGGAAGAAAGGGGGGAGACTTACGACATTGCGCTGCGATTCTTTCGAGAAAGTCTTGCGCTATGGCTTCGTCTGGCCCTTTGAGGGGCTTGATGAATATTATTCGGTCATTGGGATGCGATTTTTTGGCGTTGATGCGCTGGATGCCGAGGGGCATGACGGGCGTGCTCGCGGGGAGCTCAAAGGCTTGGATCCCGATGGTTTCGCTTGGTGGTTGTGCAGTCGTCAAGGTTCTCAGATAACTATCGCGAGGGCAATGCGCCGTGAATCGGGTAGATGTGACTTTAGCTGTCTTCTACCTCCGAAAATTGAGGTATGTTGGTGGTTTGACCTCTACGCAACGGATTAATCGGCAATGGTACGAAAGCTGTTTGCAGTTGAAAAGTGAAGAGGATCTGAAAAGCCCCCCCTCCCCTCGTTGCCACCGCGTCTGGTTGACGAGAAGCAGTAGGGGTCGCGTTGAGGGGCAAACGCCCAGTCACATGCTCACTTACAGCGCACAAATATTACCCTTTTCGTACTAGCGTGTTCCTTTTATCCCACAATAACACACCAGTGACAAAAAACAACATGGTGATGGATCATGACATCCATCGCTCGAAGTCGATTTTGACTTGGTCTTGCTTTGCTTTTTGAATTGACTGTTCCTACAATGGTAGATAAACAGCAGCCATAAAAGCAGGGTATATCGCATGCCTCTAGACTCCAAAACCCAACCCCTTTTTTGTCTTCTTCAACGCTCTTTTACCTCCTCCTTCCGGCGCCACCACCACCACCACCGCCAGCACCCGCCTTATCCGCAAGCGAAACCACCTCACCGATACCCGCAGCCTCCTGCTCATCCTCGAGCGCGGTAATCTCCTCTCTGCAATCCCACCACTTCTCCTCACTGAGCTCGAACGCCTTGGTCTTGATCTCCTTGACGGCAAGCGACTCGGGCTGGATACCCTTCCAGCGGAGGTTGGTCATGAGAATCTCCTGCCACTCGGCCGACGTGCGCTGGAAGAAGTCGCGGCGGGATTCGAAAGGCTGTGGTGTTTGTGTTAGCCATGATTCAAAACAAAGAAGACAGAATGTGAAACGTACTCTAGGATGCGGCAGGCCGTCATCAACCCTAGTCTCCTCGCTCTCCTCCTCTTCTTCGGGAGCCGCAGTAGCGGGGGCAGTCTCGGCGACGGGAGCCTCATCGCCATCCTTGGCCTTCTTCTTCTTCCTCTCGCTGGGAGTGAACTTGGCCTTCTTGTCATCGACCTCCATGGCATCCTCTTCATCATCCGCCTCTTCATCCGAGTCCTCCTCCTCGTCATCTTCCTCATCGTCATCTTCGTCCTCAGATTCCTACACCACCTTGTTAGTAACCCAGACTTCGTCGTGCTAAGTAGGGATCGACTCACAATCCAATCATCGCCCTCCCTCTTGAAGATCTCCTTGCAGCCATCCATCTTGCCCAGATCGATCGCATACAGATCATCCAGCGTAAACTCGCGATCGCCCTTCTCAAACGTGCCGCCGTAGATATACAGCACATCATCCTGCACCGCCAGCTGCGCGTTGAATCTCGGATGCGGCATCTCCATCGACACCGGCATATCCCTGACCTTCCTCTTCTCATCCTTCTCCTCCTCCTCTTCCTCGCCCCTCTGCTTCTTCAAGATGGCATCAATCTCCATCTCATCCGCATCACCATCCAAGCCCTTCGCGCCCGCCTGCAGCGCTGCCAGCTGCCTGAGCAATTCCTCCTCGTTCTGCTTCGCCCTATCCCTCCTTCCCACCCTCTCCCTCCCCCCCTCACCATTTCCACCACCGGCCTTTTTCCCAGGCGCCCTCGCCTTCTTCAACCCCATCGGGAAGAACCGGTTGCGCTCAATGTTCCACGCAAACAGCTGGTTGAAAAACTCGCTCTCCATGCCCTCCTCGCTCTCCTCCACATCATGCACGCCGCCAAACATGATTCCGCGGCCCTTGTGGTACGCCATGGTCGCGCCCGCTCGCGTCGGGCTCGGCGTGTTGGCCGGCTTCTTGCGCTTCTCCCACCTGACCGTGGGGGCCGTGTTGGGCGGCGCATCAGCGGGCGGCTGCGTGATCCGCAGGAAGAAGCAGTCCTGGTGGATCATGGGCTTCAAGATATTCTTGGAGCCACCGGCGCCACCGCCTTGCTTCGTCTGCTTACCAGCCGCCACCGTCGCCTTCACGCGCGAGTACCCGCCGTAGAGAACGGCGCCCTGGTCGTGCGGCAAAAAGGTAAAACTCGACCGGGCATCGGGCTTCAGCTGCGCGGGCGGCGGGGTGATAGAGTGCCAGACAAAGTTCTGGGTGTCGTACAGCCACAGGTCCTGGAGGTACTTTGTCTGGTTTGCCGTGTCCTGAAACCCGCCGAACAGAATAATGTAGTTCTTGTAGTAGGTCATTCTGTGGCCAGACCTGGCCGGCGGGGTCTTGCCCTTGGTTTCGATGCGTGCCCACTCGCGGGTGGACGGGTCGAGACGCCAGAAGTCGTTGTAGTGGTAGAACGTCCCTTGCTTGGGGGACGAGAACTCGCCGCCAAAGAGGTAGACGCCGGTGCTGTCGTTTCCGCCACGGGTCCAGGCGTGGCCGGACCGCGGGAGAGGAGCGTTGGGCGAGGTGACGCAGCGCCATTCGTCACGGTCGATGTAGTAGACCATCAAGTCGTTGAAGAAAGTAGCCAGGGCGCCGTTGAAGTACTCGCCGCCGAAGAGGAGGAGCTGGTTGCTGTTGGAGGGGCTGGCCATCAAGGTAGAGGCGGCGCGGGCGCGCGGGGGATCTTCGACGACATTTTCGGTGACCTTGAGGAATTGCTCCTGCTGCTTCTTGTACTCCTCGAGAACGGCGTCGAGATCGACATCCTCGGCGTCGCTGCCCTCGACCTTTGCAGATTTCACCTTGGCTTTCTTCTCAGCCTTCTTCTCTTGCTTCTGCTTCTTTTCGGCCAACTTGGCCTTTTTGGACTCGCTTTTCCCCTTTTTGTCCTTCGCCATCTTGACAAACTTCCCACCCAGGTGCCAAGCTGTTGTGTTGTTTGCGCTGTCGAAGAATGTGAGTTCTCAATTTTGACCTCATGAGACCGTGGCAAAAAGTGGAGAAATGTTTTGTGAATGTAGGCGAGATGTCGGGACCCACTTGTTTCAACTAACAAAAATTGCGCTCACCAAGATTGGGGAAACCAACAACAGGTTCAAGTGTACTTTGCCTGGCAGCAATATGGTCTACGCACGTAGATAATGTTGATCATTGATACAGTTATACCGTGGTGATCGCATTGAACTCCTCAAAATAAACCATTCACCCCGAATTTAGTCGGCCATAAATCATGAGAATATGCAACTGTCAAATTCGACTTGATGCTTCACCAACCTCACATTGGTAAGTTGTCGCTTATATTGCATGTATTGTACAATCATGGTATTTTCCAACCTTCCCCCCAAAACATATGGCCTTTGTTATGCTGTTTCATGACTCCTTGCCTGTTCAAAGCTTATGCACATACCTCGTCCCCAACGGTGTTCCATTTTCCGAGGAACCTGGCCATCAAAAGTCAGACACGCTTTTGGTGTTCAACAACCCTCTTAGTGACTTTGCCGTCTTTACGCACTGTACTTGTTGTCCTTCACCCACTTGGCAACATCCTCGCCGTCACGCTCGACCCACGCGACCTTGGAGCGGATAGCATCCAAGCTCTGGGCCAGAGACATCTCGAAGCCATTGGTGCTCTTGCCCTCGAAAAACTTCTCAACCTTGGCCAACTGCTCCTTCTTGGTGAAGCTGGAAGTGAAGATGCTAACAAGGGTTCCGAGCATCGACAACTGAGGAGGGAACCTCTTGACGAGCTCGTCCCAGTTCTCAGTCATCCAGGTGAAGAGCGCCTCGATACCCTCAGGGTGGCTGCGAAGGCCAGCAGTGGGCATGTATATATCCTGGTCCTTGATCTCACCGCTGAAGAGAAGGTCGAGGGTCCTCTTGATGAGCTCGGGGCTGTTGGCGCGACCGAGGCAGCGGAGAGCGGTGTTGCGCTCGTCGCTGTTGGTGGAGGTACGGTAGAAGTTGAGAACGGCATCATACTACAAAACTGATTAGCACGGAACACGTAGGGAATCTTCGGGGGTTATTAAGCTTACCTCCTCCTTGCCACCGTACTTCAAGGCTATGCTGAAGACGCTGCCACGAATGTTGGGGTGGATGGCCGACTTGTCGCCAGCAATAAACTTCTTAAACATCTCCTTGGCAGCAGCGATGATCTTCTCATCACCGCAGAGACCGGCACTGCCGAAGAGCATGGCCTTGAATTGCTGCTCAATGTGACCATCGCTCTCAGAGAACTCCCAGCCCATCTGGTGAGCCCTGGGGCTAACAAGCTCACGCTGGAAAGCCTCAAGGCCATCGCGAACAGCCTTGTCCTCAAAGATCCAAGCAGCCTGGACAGCAGCAACGCGAGAGATGATCTCGCTCCAGACAATGAACTCCTTCTCAGAGTCGAATCCCTTGAGAAGGTTCAGAACACCAGAGGTCTTCTGGTAGCCCGAAGAAGCAAGGGCGCCGGCATCGGCAATCATACCAGCTCTGTCCTCAACACTGAGGAGACCCTTCTTGGCCGCCTCACCGAGCTTCTCAAGGCGCTCAGGAGTGTAAGAGGTACGGTAGAGACCGGTGTGGTTCGCGTTGAGCTTGAAGAACTCGGTGCTGGGAACCTCGAAACTATCCTCACGCTTGTCAAGGGTAAGGCTCTCATCAATGCCATCCTTGGAGCGGAGGCCGAGGAAAACAGGGAAGATGACCTTGTCCTCCTCGGGCTTGACGTCACCAGTACGGAGGAAACGGTTCTGCTTGACCTGGATGGTCTTCTCGTCCTTCTCGGTAACGGTAACGACGGGGTAGCCGACGTGCTTGGTCCACACATCCATGACCTCCTCGACGCTCTTTCCGCTGGCATCGCCAAGAGCAGCCCAGAGATCACCAGTCTGAGTGTTGCCGTAGGCGTGCTTCTTGAGGTAACGTCTGACACCCTCCAAGAAGACATCCTCACCGAGGTAGGTGGAGATCATGCGCAGAACGCAAGAGCCCTTGGAGTAGGAAATGGCATCGAAGATCTGGTTGATTTCGTCGGCACGCTTGACAGGAACCTCAATGGGGTGAGAGCTCCTGAGGGAGTCAAGGGCGAGAGCACGCTGGAGATTATCCGTAACGTAAGTCTCCCAGACCTTCCACTCGGGGTAGAAGATGTTGCAAGAGTACCAGGAAGCCCAGGTAGCGAAACCCTCGTTGAGCCAGAGACCATCCCACCAGTCCATGGTGACCAGGTTACCGAACCACTGATGAGCAAGCTCGTGCTGGACAACCTCGGCGACGCGCTCCTTGGTAGTAGCACCACTGACCTTCTCGTCCAAGAGAAGGTCAACGACTCTGTATGTGACAAGACCCCAGTTCTCCATGGCACCCTGAGCGAAGTCGGGAATGGCGATCTGGTCCATCTTGGGGAGAGGGAAATCGATACCGAAGACCTTCTCGTAGAAAGCGAGGGTCTTGGCAGCAAGGTCGAGCGAGAAGCGACCGTGCTCGATGTCCTGTCCAGGAGGAGCATAGACGCGAACGGGGACACGGAAGTCGTTGGTCTCGATGTAGTTGAGCTCACCGACGACAAAGGCGACGAGGTAGGTAGACATGAGGGGCGACTTGTTGAAGGTAACGGCCTTCTTGCCATCCTTAACCTCAGACTCGGAAGCAACATCCATGTTGCTGAGGCAGGTCAACTTTTTGTCGGCGACGAGGGTGACGGTGAACTCGGCCTTCAGGGAAGGCTCGTCGAAGCAGGGGAATGCGCGGCGAGCATCGGTCGGCTCCATCTGACTGACGGCCAAGAGGCCTTGTGTGCCATCGGGGTTGTTGTAGGTCGACCTGTAGAAACCGGCCATCTTGTCGTTGAGCTGGCCAGTGAACTGGATCTCGAGCTGCGCCTTGGCGCCCTTGGTGACGGCATTGTCGAAGTCGAAGGTAGAGACCTGGGTGGTCTCGTTGTAGGATATCTTGGGCGACGAGCTGTTGGCAAAGAGTTAGCTTGTCGTAGCCATAGGATCAATGCAGGGGCAAAGTAAACACAGCAAGTAAACAATACTACGGGGGCGGGGAGGTGAGCTTGCTGACCTAACAGTCTGACCACCAGAGGTGATCTTAGCATTGTGAATGTCAATCTCTAGGGTGTGGAGGGAGATGGACTTGGAGTCCTCCTCGACATCGAGGTCGATGACGACGGTACCATCAAACGTGAGCTTCTGGAAGTCGGGCTCTAGGGTGATGTGGTAGTGTTTGGGAATGACGTTGGTGGGGAGAAGCTCGCGGCCCTGGATGTTGACCCCACTTGCCACATCGGCTTGGGCGTGTGTTCTGCACATCTTGTGGTTGCGATACGAGCAGTAGCGGACGGGAGTTTGGTTGCGACGAGGACGGACTGATCGGGTTGCTGAAAGACGTTGGCGGGGTGTCAATGGCGAAGCAGGAGTAGAGGCCACAGAATAGAAGCGTGATTGTCCTGGGGAGGAGGTCGAGGTATAACTGCGGGGGGATTATCTTATATCAGCGCTTGATTCCATTGGCCTGCCTATTCAGGTTTATTGGAGATGCCCCTTGGCCCCTTGACCATCCGCGGCTGTCAGAGTGTCCAGATGTCACTGAAACATCGTCCACTTTGATCCTTCGGCTCATGACGGTGCGTGCGTGGGTCCCAGTTCTCGCCAGATCTCCCCCGGACAGGCCCGGACAAGAAACAGTCAGGTGGTCTTTCTTGGGTTGGCGGGCTAGGCTTACTGTGAGGCAGCGAATCTGGTCGTGGCTTGGTGAGTTCCCAAAAGTGAGGTCTTGGATCGAGGCAGAACACTCCGTGCTCCTTGACAAGCAGGCCGAAGAGAGAGACAATTGCGAATCATGATGACCAACAATGTAAACAAAAGAAGAGAAGGAATGACTTTATAAGTACAGTGGAACCGGCTGCGTATCGTCCCAGTCAAACAGCCCGGTTACGTATAGTACAGCACACAACAGCCGCAGAACGAGATGACCGTACAGAATGAGACGGACGTTTGCAGGCAGTGAGTGACGGGAGGACGCACAACAAGCGGTCGCGTTAACAATTTTTTGTGAGGCACTGGCAATCCCTGCCTTTGAGTGATTGGAGGGAACCCCTCGATGCCCGGGCCCCTCCATGCCACCTGCCCACTACGGGCTGAGGCGCCTGGTCCCCTGAACAGCGCAACATTTGTTGGCTCTGGCGATGTCCCTTTGTGAGTGGTTGAATGGACGGCATTGCCTATGCTCGTTTTGGCAGGCGGTCTGGAAGCTCAGCCGACTGTAGCCAGCAACTGCCTCTCAAACACACTGGTGTTTCTTTTCCATTGACAAATCGCCGTTTGACTGTGTTTCATGAAGTTGAACTCGGTTACACAGTTATGGTCGAGTGCAACGCTTTCTCAATTGTGCGTCAAGCGGCAGGAAGATGTACCGTATAATCTCGGGAAATTCAGATTCCAGGACAGGCATAATCAGTCCGGCAACGCAGGGTTATAGCTCTGCCATTTGCTTCTACAGACACGTACAATACAAAACTGGTTTGTTTGTTAGTTTGTTCTTCTGATGGGGCAGAACAAGGGCAGAACAAGGGCAGAACAAGGGTAATCTAGAGCCCTCATTGGCCTCAGCAAGAGAATAACTCGTCCCCATTTGTAGAGTTTCGACAATGACCAGGGCTCTCAACGCCACAAAAGTATCTTTCCGTCCTCTTCAGAGCTTCAAGATACCAGTTCACAGCATCTATCCGTGAGAATCTCGGCAGCTTTCCCAAGTCTAGTAAGCTCTAGCTTTTTTGTACCAAACTAACAAACAAACCAGGGCTGTATTGTACATACAGTCAAACGCAACTGGCAGACGTTTAACCCTACAGAATCCGCACGATTATGCCTGTCCTGGAATCTGAATTTCCCGAGATTATACGGTATGTGAGTCGATGAATTGCGGCATCTGAATCGAAAGCATACCTTTGCATTCCAATGCCATTGTGTCAATGTCAATGTCAATGTCATGCAGGGTCCTGGATAGGGCTCGATCGGTCAATTCGGCAACGGAAGCAATCAACAAGGACGTTGCAGTGCGTTGTCTCCAGTCAACTTTGACTTTCGACAGCAAGCAACCGCGTTCTAGATCAAACCTAGAAATGACCACGGATCTTTGGGAGACGACCGTGTTCGACTCCAGGGCATCTTTGAACCAAAAATGACAAGTATAAAAACGAACTTACAGACCTGAGAGAACCGGATGAAAAGAAGCAAATGCACAAGAATTATATGTCTGTTGGATGCCGTGGATTAAGAGTCTTAGCCGGGTATCTGACCAGAGTGGTTGGGATGCATTGAACCTCGATTCGCAACAGTTTATGAACTTTCAAAACTTGTCAGCCTTTATTCTGAAGCCGGTGAAAGACTCGACTGGATGAAGAGATAGATGAAGATGGGCCACCAGCAAAGAACAAAAAGTCGTCAGCGTGGGGTGAAATTGCCATTGATAACAGAATCCCCCACGGAGGAGCCTGATGACGGAGTTTGGCTCCATTGATCAAGGATCCATACGGCAAAACGCCAGAGACTGGAGCACGCGTTGAGCAACTTGAGCTGGGCCGTTCGATCCGTGATAGCTTGTATTCCACCGAACGTGGCCGGGGACGGCATTTATATGCTATCGGCAGTTGCTCCGTCCAGGCCGGTCGACGGAGGCTTGGGCAATGGCGGTGTTCAGAGCTTCCGGACCGCAAACCTTCCCGAATCTTCTGCGGACACGGCGGGGTAGCTTCGTTTTTTGGCCGACAGAAGCACCGGGATGTGGAGGGTTCGGAGGAGTCCATTCGTTGACTTTTAGCTCACGGCGCCAGACCTCAGACGCATATGACGTTCGGAGATAGGCGCCGGCACCAAAAAGATATCAAATTGAGAAGGTTGTCCTAACGAAAGACTGCAAGAATTTTGCTTCGTGAAATGCTCAACAATGAAGAGGTCAGGCAGACCGGCCATCCTCCGTCCGCCTTGGATGCTTTTTGTTGAGACCGCGCCAGAAATAGAGGCTCAGGGTCGTAGTACCGACTCCCGTCGACTCATCACAATAGCCTGCCATCGAGTGAAACGAAAGAGACAGTTTCGCCCCAGTCTCGAGACCTCTTGCCTTTGGTGTTTCGAGTTGGTCCGTTTGTCATCCGGTTGACATTGTGAAATGCAAAAAGCCAGGGTCTTGGCCAGGAAAGGGCCGACGACGGATTCGCGCAGGAGTCCAGACGGAGGATAGACGGAGGAGGGGTGGCTCCCGTGGGTGGTCCGCCAATGGCACCGAATGTCTTCAGTCAAGTGGGAGTGTCACTGGATGGCAATGGTAGGCGAAGCTGTCAAAGGCTTGCAAGGTTCTTCTTCACCTCATCGTCGTGGATGAATGCAACACTTCGAATGTCTCTCGCAGTGCGGTGCAGATGTCTCGCTCGCCGCTGACTGTGCGTCCCTCGCTCTCAATAGACCGACGTCGACAGCAATCCGCCAAATGAGAACAGAAGATGCCCACCTCGCTTCTGCAGCTGCAGCTTCCGTCTCGTTGCGAGAGTTTCTCACAGTCACGACCAGCATGCGTCAGGATTAGGTGGCCAGGTACCCGGTACGTACCCTGCGCAAGCTCCTGTTACCGGGAATAGCTCCCTAGCTGCAGACGCCAGCAAGGGTACAGCAAGACGACGGACGGCTTGGCATTGATTTTAACAGGAGGGGGGTTCCCTCTACTTGCGAGGATCACCCCACCTCCCCGCCTCAATTGCGTCCTCTCATCGTCCAGCTTGTCGAAGACCTGAAAGCTCTTGGCGTCGCCAGGCCTCGTCCAGATTTAATATCCTGCTCTCTCCCACTTCTTTTCTCTCTTCTCCTTCTCGAAACTATCACCACCTTTGTCCATAACCAGACATATCAACGTGTAAGTGACTATCCCGCATTGCTTCACTTCCTCTTCAGTTCAGCCCTTGTCCCCCTCACGATCATGATGTCCTCCGACACCGCTCGAATCTGGTACAGCCCCGCCATCCTGTTACTCCTCGACGAGGCTTGGTTCGACTCGTCAGAATATTCTTGTCCCGCGGGATATTTCCAGCTGCGGCTCTTCTCATCCCAGCTCATAGTTGAGCAGAATCATCTAATAAAGCCGTCCTGTCATCCTCTCTTCATCTTGAACCTTTCCTCCAATTTCCTCCTCGCCTTCATCCTGTCGCAACAACAAACAGTCTGTACTACCCCACCAAGCTCACCTGGTGTGCCTTTTACTTCAAAAGCATTGTCGCGTTCTCAACGGTCACGTCAACAAGTACACAAAGCTAACATCAAGCTGTCAACAGATTCAAAATGCCCATCTCCAAGATCCACGCTCGCTACGTCTACGACTCTCGTGGCAACCCGACCGTTGAGGTCGACGTTGTTACTGAGCTCGGCCTTCACCGCGCCATTGTCCCCTCTGGTGCCTCCACTGGTACGTCAGACCGACACTCTCATCTACTCTTCGATAGACATGTACACAATACTAACAACAACCTTCAACAGGCCAGCACGAGGCTTGCGAGCTCCGCGATGGTGACAAGACCAAGTGGGGTGGCAAGGGTGTTCTCAAGGCCGTCAAGAACGTGAACGAGGTCATCGGCCCCGCTCTCATCAAGGAGAACATTGACGTCAAGGACCAGTCCAAGGTTGACAAGTTCCTCATCGACCTCGATGGCACCCCCAACAAGACCAAGCTCGGCGCCAACGCCATCCTCGGTGTCTCGCTCGCCGTCGCCAAGGCCGGTGCTGCTGAGAAGGGCGTTCCCCTCTATGCTCACATCTCCGACCTTGCTGGCACCAAGAAGCCCTATGTCCTCCCCGTTCCCTTCATGAACGTCCTCAACGGCGGGTAAGTCTAGAATACCCAACCCCCCTGGTTACGAAGCAGTAACTGACGAAGCGACAGTTCCCACGCTGGTGGCCGTCTCGCCTTCCAGGAGTTCATGATCGTCCCCTCCGCCGCTCCTTCCTTCTCTGAGGCCCTCCGCCAGGGTGCTGAGGTGTACCAGATCCTCAAGAGCCTCGCCAAGAAGAAGTACGGCCAGTCCGCTGGCAACGTCGGTGACGAGGGTGGTGTCGCTCCCGATATTCAGAACCCCGAGGAGGCCCTCGACCTCATCACCGAGGCCATCGAGAAGGCCGGCTACACTGGCCAGGTCAAGATCGCCATGGATGTCGCTTCCAGCGAGTTCTACAAGGAGGACGTCAAGAAGTACGACCTCGACTTCAAGAACCCCGAGTCCGACTCCTCCAAGTGGCTCACCTATGAGGAGCTCGCCAACCTCTACTCCGAGCTCTGCAAGAAGTACCCCATCGTCTCCATCGAGGATCCCTTCGCTGAGGACGACTGGGAGGCCTGGAGCTACTTCTACAAGACTCAGGACATCCAGCTCGTTGCTGATGACTTGACCGTCACCAACCCCCTCCGCATCAAGAAGGCCATCGAGCTCAAGGCTGCCAACGCCCTCCTCCTCAAGGTCAACCAGATCGGTACCCTTACCGAGTCCATCCAGGCTGCCAAGGACTCCTACGCTGATGGCTGGGGTGTCATGGTCTCTCACCGCTCCGGTGAGACCGAGGATGTCACCATTGCCGACATTGTCGTTGGTATCCGCTCTGGCCAGATCAAGACCGGTGCTCCTGCCCGTTCCGAGCGTCTTGCCAAGCTCAACCAGATCCTCCGCATCGAGGAGGAGCTTGGCGACAACGCCATCTTTGCAGGCGAGAACTTCCGCAAGGCTGTTGAGCTCTAAGTGGTTGCATGTTGATGATGGGGACCCGTTCGGATGGAATCGGAACCTGGAAAGGGTTCTAGGGGTGACCGGTTGATCGACATGTGTTACCTCGGATGACCAAAGGACACGGGTATGGCTAATGAAAATGGCGGAATGACATAGAATTTTAATGATCAATACCAAATTTCTTTTACCCCATGCGTTGCCCATGCGTTGGCAGGAACCACGCAAGTTTGTGACATGGATCGGTAGTGTTGGACGTCCGTTTCTCCCCTTTCCCCGCGATTCCCCGTTCCCATTCCCGGCCCGCTCCGGGGTACCGGTACCAACACGACACCCCTGTTACAGTAGTACCTTCTTGTCAGGTCCGCAAGAGGCTATCACCGCTGTTTTCTGAAGGAGATCAGGATCTCACTGATCATATCGTCTTGAGAAGTTGGATTAGGCACGAAGAAAAGCATGTTGTAATTGGGTTGCAGAGTATATCGATGTCTAGCCGATTTTCGGTTATTCATGGCCGCTTACCGCTTTTACTCAGTCGTAAGAGATTTACCAAAGGCGCTAGCTAGGAAGATGAGAGAATCCCATTGGACTGATTCCTTATATGCAGCTAATCCCGCCGTGCATACTTGGGGGTTGTAGTACGGTTGGCTGGGACCTTTTCTCAACCCCCTCTCATTAAAGAGGGGGAAATTTTATTCTAGGACAGCAAAAAACTCATGGAACAATCTGAACCAGTACCAAAATACTAAGAAACGTGTTAGTGCAGCCCAGATCGCAAACCATTTAATCGCACCACTATTTTCTAAAATTCTGAAAAAAATTAGGAAGGTAAAGAAAGCTCTCAAAAAGACACTCTCAAAGTTGCATCAATTTTGGTCGGGTGTGGAACGAGAGAAAGAAAAAAAGGGTTCAAAGTACACCTTTGGCTGTAGACTTCGAAATTCGTTTCGCGGATGCACTCATTCGACTTTTGGTAGCCAAATGATACTTTTTGACCTACCGTTTTTTCCCCCGTTGAAATGCCAGCTCAAAAATGAGGATTTTCGTTTCTGATACAAAGAAGAATCTATCTGATTTTTAGTAGAATTTTAGAAAATTCGAGCGTGGTTTTGATGTATTGTATCTATACTGCACTATCAGATTTCTTAGTGTTTTGCTAGTTGTTCAGATTGTCCTACGAGTTTTTTGTTGTCCGAGACTTTTTTTTCCCCCTAGTTAATGACTAGGGGTTGAGGAAAGGTCCCACCACCAAACCGCACCACAACCCCCAAGTATGCTTCCTTCTCACCAAAACTGCCAGGTTCAGTAAATCTCTTACGACTGGGTAAAAGCGGTATATCAAAGAGCCCCGCCTGTCGAACAGGATCAAAACAACAACGGCAACAACCCCGTAAACAAGCCCCGCTCGCCCGTGTTGCTCCGGACACCTTGATGGACAAGCCGAATCCTGGACAAGGGTTTCTAGAATGACGTGCGCTTGATCCATCGATCCATCGTGATAATCCCATTCATGAGTCGCGGCGACCGTTGAACCGGGGCGGTGGGAAGAGATGTGGCTGAAGATTTCACCAGCCCCATTGCCATGCGATGTGGCTTTGTGTACCCCGCTTTCTCGGCAGTCCCTGCAGGAAGTTCCTGCCGGCACACACTGGACGGAAGCTGCTGCCACTTGCCAGCTGCCCGCGCGGTTGCTACGGTGACTCGCATGATTGTTTGGTTAGGGTGAATCAACAAACGAAGAAAATCCACATGCCCCTCTTCCTTCCACCCAATTCAGCATGGTCTAGATTCGCTTCTTCATACTGTACGGAATCGAACAAGTCCCTCCCCATCGCGTCTCCCAAATGAATTGGTGAGAGAAGGTCAACTTTAGCGACAACGAACAAGCGACGCACTTCCCCGCTCGCGGGAACTTGTAAACGCGACAAAACAACAACATAATCCTCGTTCGCGCCCTTTGACGATTATCGCATCCCACAAATTGAACGATCGGAACTTCCACAAGCGCGGGCGACTCCGCCTTCTTACACGCAACAACAGAGACGTCAGACAAGATGGCACCCCAAGATGACTCCGTCAACTTCGACATTATCGAATCGCACAAAGAGAACATCCAAGCTCTCCCCAGCGGTCGCTCCGCCCGCAAACTCGCAGAACTCTTCTCTCCTTCACATAGCGCCAGCAGCTCTAGGCAAGCGCTGGCACCACAACTAACACCCACTCCGAACCCTACCGAAGTCAAGTCCGTCAACGACGCCATCCGCGCCGAATACGAAGCCGAGCTTGCCGCCTTCAACCCCGAAGAGCAAGATGACCCCCTCGACATCTACGACCGCTACGTCCGCTGGACTCTCGACGCCTACCCGTCCGCCTCGGCCACACCGCAGTCGCAACTGCATCTGCTGCTCGAGCGCGCCACCCGCGCCTTTGTTGGCAGCGCCCAGTACCGCAACGATGCGCGCTACCTGAAGATGTGGCTGCATTACATTCGCATGTTCAGCGATGCGCCCCGCGAGGCATTCGTCTTCCTCTCGAGACACCAGATTGGCGACCAGCTGGCGCTGTATTACGAAGAGTTTGCGGCGTACCTGGAGGGCGAAGGTCGATGGGCGCAGGCCGAGGAGGTTTACAAGATGGGCATTGAAAAGGAGGCCAGGCCGGTATCAAGGCTGGTGAGGAAGTTTGGCGAGTTTGAGCAACGACGCGCGGCGTTGCCCGAGGGTGCTGAGGATCCGAATAATAGCGTTCCTGTGCTGCCAGTGGTCAGAAAGGCGCTGGGTGTCAAGTCGGACCCATTCATGGCGGCGGGCGTGGAGAGGTTGCCTCGGGATCCGCAGGCGCCGAGACCGAATATGGGCGTTGGAGGAGTAGCTGCGGGACCGTCGAAGCCGAAGAGTAAGCTGGCGATCTTTTCGGATGCGGATGCGGCTGCGCAACAACCGGCGCTGGGCTCTCTAGGTGCTGGTTCGAAGGGATGGGATAGTATTGGGAGCTTGTCCGATCGGAAGAAGGAGAATACTATGGAGCCGAAGCCGTGGGCCGGCGAGGTGCTCAAGGCTGGTGGAAAGAAACCTGCGCAGAAGATGCAGGTATTCAGGGATACGGTAAGTTCTATGTCCCCTTAACCTCTTCCTTTCCATAAAACCGATGTTGATCAAGAATAGGACTAATTGTTTACGATGGGTGGTGCGCTCGGCGTTCTGGCGCACTCATTTTTGTATGTTATTTCACAGACCAAGACTACGAATCCTATGATGATGATGAACAAGCAACAACTTTCTCAATCACATATTCCAATACACCACTCTCAGTCCCAGGTGACGGTGAATCCGGTAACGGGTAAGCGGGAGCGGGTATTCGTTGACCTTAGAGTGATCTACCCGACACCAGACGAGCCCGGTACGGAGATGAGTTTCGAAGAGATATGGGCTGCTCGAAGAGGTTGGCTAGATGTGGTTTGGGAGGACGAAAGAAAGAAGCGACCACTGGATGCGATATTGACTCCAAAAAGGGATGAAAACATGGAAGACCTGACCCTGGAGATGGCGTCGACGAAAATTGTGGCCTACCATGATGTTTTGAAACTAGACGAAAACGGGAAGCCCATCTACCCTGAACACAAGGCTGGCAGGAGTGCCAAGAAGAAAAAGGTGATCGAGGTGAACGAGACACAAATCAGTATGCCCTCACTTTCCCAAGCAAACAATCTCCTGGAGATCCGCTAACGAACAACCATAGTCAAGGCTAAGCTGGACTCTCCTTCTGGGCCCAAAATGAAGAAGAGAGGCTCATCATCAGAACCAACCATGACACTGCACACAAAGGCAGCAACAGATGATATCTACGACATCTTCAACGCTCCGATTAAGCCTGCAGCAAAAACCGGTTTGAGCGACGACGAAGACCGCTACGATTCGGATGACTATACTTGCGGTGTAGAAGACACATCCAGAAACCTTGCGACCAGTGAGGCAGGAGATGAGACCACAGTTGTAGAGGCTGTCGAAGAAACGGATGTTGCAAACGAGGACGACGACGTCAAGAGCGAGTGGTCCGACTTCACAGCACGAAAACACATTCCTAATTATCAAGGAGGCGGTGACGAAGACCATGAGATGACGGATGTTTTGGACGAAGAGCTCAACGGCCAACCTGAAACCTCCCATTCACAAGTCAACCACAACAGGTTTCCAGACGAAAACTCAAGGCCGGGTGAACATCCCTTCACTCAACAACCCCCACCCGCAGCCGAAGAATCACCTCCTAGGACGAGGAATATCTTCGTACCAGTACCTCCCGCAGACTACGTCCCCACAAGAAGGCCGTATCGAGATCCGGTAGAAGTGGCTAACAACCGCCTGCCCTTCATGACGCCCATCACTGAAAGGACCGAGTTCTCGTCGCTCGACGTCACGTATCACCACCCAAATATGCATCACCCTATTCTCACCAAGACCCCGTCTAAGGCACCGGGCCTGGATCACGACTTGAAGGATGACATGTCAGTGGATGGCGAAGAGGAGGAAGGCCAATATTCTGAGAATGAAGATGAGGATATGCTCGAGCCGGAGAGCAGTCCGCTGCGCGAGATCCCTGAGGAAGACGAGGAAGAGGAGGAACCGCAAAAGAGGTTCTCACCGATTCCGATCTTTCATGACCAACCAGCTGCGGCCAGATCCCCTCTCGCCGTAAAGTCAGTCACAATATCACCTTTGGCACACAGAGCGGTCTCTCCTCTCGCGCCCAGGCTTCCAGGACCTATCATCAAAGACTTGCAGTGCAACCCCGTCGACGACCTCGTCCGCAAGAAGATCCTGGCCAACATTTACCCTCCCCTCACTTCGTACGAGGGCTTCTACGACCACCGCCATGAGAAGTTCCGCAAGGGCGCCGAGATCCGCAAGTTCGCTCAAGCCCAGTCCGCGGCTAGCAAACGCGGAAGGAAGAGCACCTCTGCCGACAAGCGCGATTCTCTGAACGAGCCGCATCCTATCATGCTGCAGCTCCCTGGCAATCCCAGCACCAAATACACCATCAAGAAGGAACTCGGCGCCGGTGCCTATGCGCCCGTCTACCTGGTTGAGAACTCCAAGCCCACCAAGACCGCCCCCCAAACCGGTTACGGTTACGGACAACAACAAGAGAACGACAACCTCCCCGCCCACCTGATCCGCCACCCCCGCGAAGCCCTCAAGATGGAACAACCCCCGACAGCCTGGGAATTCTACATGATGCGTCTCTCGCACACCCGCCTGCTCGCCGCCAACACCCCGCTCCACCACCGCGCCCTCGCCTCCCTCAGTCCCGCCCTCGAACTCCACCTCTACCAAGACGAAGGCTTCCTCTTCCTCCCATTTTTCCAGCACGGCACTTTACTCGATGTAATCAACCTCTTCCGATCCGAGTCGTCCGGCGTCATGGACGAGCAACTAGCCATGTTCTTCACCGTCGAACTCTTCCGGGCCGTCGAGGCCCTGCACTCGGTAGGCATCATGCACGGCGACGTCAAGGTAGACAACTGTCTTCTGCGTTTGCCTACGACCACGGATATCCTGCCGACGAACCAGTACCACGCCGACGGATCGGGCGGCTGGGCCGCCCGCGGACTGACGCTGATTGATTTCGGGAGGGGGATTGATTTCCAGCAGTTCAGAGAAGACGTGCAGTTCGTGGCGGACTGGAAGCCTACGGCGCAAGATTGCGCCGAGATGAGGGAGGGGAGAGGCTGGACGTGGCAGATTGATTACCATGGTCTTGCCGGAGTGGTGCATGCTTTGTTGTTTGGGAAGTACATTGATACGGTACCCTGCGGGAGTGCGCACTCAAGGTCGTTGTTCATTGATAATGGTGCCGGCGGGGGCGACAATGAGAAGAGGTATAAGATTAGGGAGAACCTGAAGAGGTATTGGCAGACGGATATCTGGGGCCATTGTTTTGATTTGTTGCTTAACCCCGGGAGCTATGTGGATGATGAGGAGGAAGGGGGGAAGATGCCGGTGCTGAAGGGGCTGAGGACGGTTAGAGAGCGGATGGAGGGCTGGTTGGAAGCGAATTGTGAGAGGGGCGTGGGGTTGAGGGGGTGGATGGGGAAGGTTGAGGCTTGGTCTAGGGGCAGGAGGTGAGGATAGAGCGAGTGCTCATGGATTCTTTTATTTTGCGAATATGGTGGTGGATTGCTTTACTTTGCTACAGAACTTGCTTCGCGAGCTGAGGAGGGTAACCAGGAGTTGTGGAAAGGTATGAAGGTTTTCAACAAGAGCAAAGGACATTGCTGCACACATGATGGTAGTAGGCTTTCTGATTTCGTTACTAGGATGGACATACATTTCCTTTTCCGTTACCCTTTTATGGTGGCGCATGTCTACGCAATGCTATACATACAAGCTACAAAGCATCATACCCCCAACTCCATAGCTAAATAGCGTTTGTCCATGGTCGTTATACAATAGAACATGACAATATCATCCAGGCACTCTCTCCATGCCTTTATGCCCTTGGTCATCCATCGGGTTTTACTCGTTATCCTCCCCCTCACTCTCCTCCTTCACCTTCTTCTTGAAGAAACTCGATATCGACCCTCCCGCAGCCGCAGCCCCTTTCTTCCCTTTCCCAGCCCCCTTCGCCGCATCCTTCTCCGCCTTCTTCGCGTCCTTCTCAGCCTTCTTATCCACCTGTTCCTGAATCTTGGCCCTCTCGCTCGCGCCCCTTCGTTGTAACTCCTTCTCCATCGCCTTAAACTCCTCGCTCTCCGCATCCATCCCCACCAAACTCTCCAAAAGCTTAATCTCATCCGCCCAGATCTGCTTATTCTCCACCATCTTGCCATCCGCCCCCTTCTCCTCTATCGGCGTCTCCAACACCATCGGCAACCCTTGCACCGCCTCGTAGTTCATCAGGTTATGAAACGCCCTCAACCCGAGGAACCCTGTGCCGATGTTGGCGTGTAAATCCCGATGCGAACCAAAGGGGGCTTTGCTATCGTTCAAGTGGAACGCCTTGAGATACTTCAGCCCAACAATCTCGTCAAATTGCTTCATGGTTTTTTCAAACGCCTCGGGCGTGCGCAAATCGTGGCCCGCCGCAAAGGCATGGCACGTATCGATGCACACACCCACGCGGCTCTTATCCTCCACTCCATCAATAATCATTTTGAGGTCCTCGAACTGGGAGCCAATCACGTTACCAGAGCCGCACATGTTCTCTATAACCGTCACCACCTCCCCCGTCCCCTTCTCCTTGTGAGCCCGGTTTAGTTGGGCAGCAATCCGCGCGCACGCTTCCTCGATGGGTTCGCCGCCTGTTGACCCCGGGTGGAAGTTGTACAGCTTGATTCCCAAGGTGGAGCACCGTTGCAGGTCGTCGACGAAGTTGGTGTAGGCTTGGTCGGCTTTGGTCTTGTCGACCTGGGCGAGGTTGACGAGGTAGGAGCCGTGCGGGAGGACGTGTAGGGAGGGGGAGTAGGAGTGGAGGGTGGCGAGGCGGGAGAAGTCGGAGGCGGCGGAGGGGTCGAGGGGCGGGGAAACCCATTTGCGTTGGGATTTGAGGAAGACGGCGAAGGCGTTGGCGCCAATGTGGAGGGCATTGGTGATGGAGTTTTGGACGCCTGTGGCGGTGGGATGGGAATGGTGGTTAGTAGGTGGTAGGGAGGGTTAAGGGGGAAAGTAAAGAAAACGATGCGTGACAAGACATACCTCCGGCGCTGCTAACATGGGCTCCAATGTAAAGCTTCCTCTTCATCGACTCAACTGGGGTCCTAGCTGCTAAGGGGGTGGCATCTTCTTCGGAAGCCTTGGTCTTGCGCTTTTTGGGAGCCGGCTTTTTCGTATCTTGTTGGACGGGGTCCTTGTTCTCGATGTCTTCAGCATCGTCGTCGTCGTTCTCTTCCTCCTGAGCTTTTCCTTTGCGCTTTGTCGCGGCGACTTTCTTGACGACAACCTCCTTCTTGACACCACCCCTGGCCCGGGCAACCTTCTTCGCGCTGGTCTCCTCGACGCTGGATTCCTCGATGGTGGCGGAGGTGATTTTGGTTGCCGCCCGCGACTTTGCGCTGCGGGTTGGGCGGCTGGGACACATTGTTGAGGCTGGCCGGTAAAATTGCGAGAATCTGAGAGTGATTAGACGGCTGAAGAGTCGGATGAAGCTGCGATTCATACGAGGTGAGAGAAGAAGTAAAAAGGTAAATCACAATAATTTGGAGAACGTGTTTGTCGCGTAGTAGTACTGCCCTGTAAAGGTTATGACGCGCCAACCCGCGACTGCCGTTACAATTAAGACCCCTGTAAGTGCGGAGGCCGGAGGGGCTCCAGTGGGTTGGACATGTCGTTTGACATGTGCCAAGATTTGGGATTAAGCTTCCGCCAAGACATTCTTCTTACACGGACATGTCCATTCAATCTCTTTGCGCCCGTCTTCAACTTTCTCTCTACACTGTTGCCGTCACCGTCAAACAGGCTCTCGAATCCGACTCGGAATGTTGATGCGTCGATCGAAACAATATTTGATGAAGCTGTTCAGAAATTGTTGACAAATCAGAAAATTGACTCTACGATGCACACGACGCCGAACCCCAGAAAGAGGGAAAACACCGTCAGCAACTCCATCACCAATTGGGACATTTGAAGCAGGCAGCAGCATTTCGAACCTCCAGATACCCACCTGCCCCTTGGTTCGCGGGCTTACATGCTCAAAGGAGGCACAGAGACTCGGATCTCCAAGATTGATTAAACGCCAGATCGGTAGCCAAGACCGAGTCTGGAGTTGTCACCTCGGGAAGAAATAGGTGGGATGGGCAGAAGCGGCAGGGACAATGTCCTTAATCTGGTACCACCAGGAAGTTCCTCAAAGGATCTCTCCGACGGGGAGTGTCTACTCTACCATATTTCTCTCGATTCACTGTTGTTTCCCCTCTGCCCCCTTTGCGCGGAGCAATTGCTGACATGCTTCGATATCGCCAACGACTGGGCTTGGACAGACAGATGCAACACATACACATGAACCTCTCTTTTCTTAACCGTTTCATCCCAGTCAGAGATACAGATCTGAATGGCTGAGTCTTTTCAGATCCACGCCTCCCATATGCGCACTTGCACGCCATCTTGTGATGTGCCGTCGCACAACGCATGCTATTTATGAGGACAACCGCTTTAAGTGGAAGACCGCTGGCGGTGAAGGCTGAAGAATACATTGCCAACCTTGGCGTCTTGCCGTTTGAAAAGTCTCGAACTGAAACTGGACTATATTCTACATTCTCCTTGGAAACCTCTGGAACACAAATCGATCTCTGGCACTTACCGAGTACAAGTTTCACCCATGGCTTCTTTGCTCAGCTGAAGATCAGTTGATGGACCGGGAGGGACGTTGCCATGACTGCTGAACTGTGACGATGGTTGATGGAGTACGCAGCAGGCCGATCTGTTGGCGGCTTACGAAGCCAACCTCCACAGTCCACTTGTTCGCTGATCCAGGGCCTCGAAAAAGTCGCAAATACCACCCAGTCGAGCCAGTCATGCACTGTTGTTCCTGATCAATAGAGGTATTGTTCTCTCTCAGTCGAGTTACCCGTTGGGGATTGGAGGTCAGTTCCTGTCTGTTTCCCCAACTCTGCTGTGCAAGAGCCGGGCCCAAGTCTCCCAAGTTCCGCTCTTTGTGTCTCAAAGCACTACCAGCAACACTACCTACCTCTATAGAGAGTTTCCTATGTAGTCCAGATCAGCCGGGGTGAGAAGCTCCGAGTTGCTCTTTTGAAACCTTCTGATCGCCGTGATTCGTAAGCCCCTTGATCCCGTCTTGTTTTAGGGCTGTAGATGGACCATGGAACAACCCCATTCATGGGTGTCAATCCGGTGCCAATCTTTGACTCTGGCGTTCTGAACCGGCACTGAGTGGCCTCCAGACAATCGCTAAATTGCCCCTGGGGCCAGCTCAGTCCATCGGGGTCCCCGCATGCCCGCTGGCTGATTGCCGCCATGCCGTTGCCGCCCCTAGCTTCTTCTGGCGCTGGCGTCTCTAGCGAACATTGGCGCCAGGCCGGCCGTGCCAGCCCCCAACCACAAACTGCAGTGCATCATCCATCCTGGTCCGCGCCTGCCATCCAGTGTGCGGCCAGTGCGGCCAGTGCGGCCAGTGAGAAAGAGCCATCAATCACATCTTTTGAATGTTCATCCCGTCTCGTGTTTCTGACTTCTTTCCTTCTTTTTTTCTCATTTTACAATCTCTCTTCGTTGTGTAGGTACTGTATCTCCAGCCCGGTGATACTCTCTTTCGTGTACATACCTTACCTCTACACCACAACAACAAGACACAAGACTCTACAAGGAATGAAGCAGCATTTGCGTCTCTAAATCAATCAATGTCCAACACCTTCGTCCTTTCTTTCTGGTGACACTTTTCTCTCCAGCAGCCCAATATCCTCCCGGCTCGGCTGCCGTGATTACGTTCCAGCCATACACAGAGTGCCGTTTGCGCAATGGCAACCATCACCGTCGACGAGGGCAGACGCTCCTCCATCGAGAAGCCCGCTATTACGACGCCCGATCACCTTCACTCTTCAGAACCAACAGCATTTGAACGATTACCGGACGAGATAATCCAGCAGTGCGTCCTCGTTTACTAGCTCTCATCGTCTCAGCATTCCTTTCTCTATTTCCCGTGTTTCGCATTTCGCATTCCTAATCACAAACAGCGTTATAGGATCCTTCAAGCTGTCGATGCGAATGGCTTCGCTTCGCTGGTGCTGCTCAACTCGAAATGGAGAAGCGTCGCTCAGCAGGCCCACCTATACGCCTACCACTTATCCAATTGTCCATCCTACGCCCTAAGCCATCACAATGCCTCGCCTCCAACCGTTAGCGAAGATGATCTCCCCAGACTTAAAAGACTATTCGCAAAGGAGGTCAAACGGAATCTGTTCGAGGCATACTTACGACCAAGGAAGACCATCATCAAGCTCATATCCAACTCGATCAGCTCTTCATCTGCGCCAGGTGGAGATGGCATCCAGTTCAGCCCGTCGCCAAAGGGTCACCACCTTCTAGCCTACAACTCCTCCCGGATACATGTTCTTGATGTTAGGCAACGGGACATTGCCGTTACAAGAGAGTTCAAGATCTTGCGCCGTCCTGCCGCCACATGTATCAACGATAAGGGAACCGTGCTAGCAGTTCTGCTGACCGAGATGCAAATCGACATCTACGACCTCAAGTCAACACCTCCGAGACGAACCCAGTCACTGATCCTGGATAACAGCCCTCGTGCGATTACGCTTTCGCCATGTGGCGGAGTTCTGGCAGCGGCTTATGAGGGTGGCATCGAAGTCTCTTCTCTCAATCCCAACGCGACGTCAACCGAGCGAAGAGCAGTCAAATGTGAAGCTGTTGATTCATTGACCTTTTCGTTTGACGGGACACAGATCTTGGGTACTACGGTTCATGCGCCACAGCCCAACACCGTAATTCTGACCGCCCCCTACTACGACCCGGGTAGTTGTTCGGTGGAGGACGACATCAGTGCATTATGGACCACCTCGATTCTCTTCCCCAACACGAGTCGCGATTGCAGCCATGCGGTCTTGATCCAGAATGGGAAATACGAGGAGGCAGGGTGGACATTTACGTACGACCGCAGTTACGAGATCTTCAGGGCTGTGCGGATCGATGACCTACGAAACGGCACAACATACTTCACCGGGCCAATACCGAACCCTACCTCGCAACCGAAACTAGTACCATGTACTCTGCCCGCAGCCTCTTACCATGGAGAGCTCGTGTCGGCTGGTTTTCAAGGCAAGGACGTTTGGATCTACGGTATTCCCGAGGATCTGGATGCGACACCCGAAACGACCAGCACAGGCAATGAAGGTACTTCAAACTCAAGTGCCCTGAACCGTCGCAACAGTCAACCGCCACCCCGAAATGGCTCACGCACGCAGGATAACGATCCATCCAGAGTCCCTCAATGGCAAGCGCTCGACAAGTTGCGCAACAAGCTTATCGCAGGACGCAAAATCGGCCATCTTGAAGGGGTACATATGGTGAAGTGGGTTGGAGACTTCGAGGATTCATCGGTGAAGGAACGCATGATCATCGGTGCTCGAGGAATAACACCCACCAAGCCCATCACGGAGGATGATGGCTTTGACTTTGTGGACGGTGGTCGGATCACAGTGATCGACTTCGACTACGGTTTCGAGAACGGCTCGACTGTCGAGATTGATATCGATGTGGGATCCAAAGAACCTGAGGTATTAGAAGAGGAACACCGAGATATGGAAGCCGAAGTCGCTATCGTACGCCGGAGAACGGTTATGCAAAAGAGGGGGAGTCGTGGCGGCTTGATGCGGGCTGCTACCAGCGCAGGAGCCGTTCCTCCTGTCCCAGCCCTTCCTTCTGTTTCGTCACTTCCCAGTCAGCCTTCAGTGTCAGTTCAGGAGGATGACGACCCTCTCGTACCTCGTCGTGTCGGAGCACTTCCTATTCCCCGAATCGAAGCACCTACGATAACTGAGGATACTGAAGAATTTGCGTCGATCGAGGAGCAAGAGGCTTTGGAGTCACCCTACGCCCATGCCAGCCCCCGATCAGCTCCTACACTCAGGCGTGCCGCCACTGCTGCTGCTGCAAATCGCCGCTTACACCCTCAAGCTGCTGCTGCTGGTCCTGTTGAGTATCGTCGTGCTGATGGCCGAGCCGAACATCCACACGAGAGTGACGCAGACAATTGGGTTCCTCCTCCACCTCCGTACCAAAAGGAGGATCCTGGTGACTTACCGGCTTTCCTGCGCCATGCCATTCCACCCGTTACCCCAACCACCGTCACGTCGGCTCAAACAGACGATTACCTAGACGAAATGCGCAGGCCGAAATCCATGTTGGAGCCACCTCGAAGTCATACATCGATACAAGTTCCACGGACCGGATCCTCTATCCCTCCTGTACCGTCGCTCTCTACCATTCCGCGGGTCCCTCCACTACCACAGCAATCCTCGTCGTCTTCGATACAGTATCAGAATAGCGGCAGCTCCACACACTCGACATACCAAGAGCCTCAACGGCCGCCTTCCAGCAACTCCCGCTATATGGGGGATGAGAACATATACGACGTCTCTCCGCCCGACTCACCCAAGATGGCAGCGGAAAACCCATCTACTGGCGGAAGCCAGGCCCGTAGCGTGAGCGACAGCCGAACAGTGAGCTCTCCTCAGGTGAACTTTGTGGCACCAGCCTCGGCGTCATCTTCTGGGCAACAGCCACATCCACCATTACCTCCGTTACAGACAAATATTCTGCCTCCACAGCAGTCAGGATTCCCATTTGCTCTAGACCTCCATATCCCGTCACCACATATCGGTAGTATCATGCCTGACGGACAAGCGTCAAGCAGTCCGGTAGTTAGGCGGCTTTCCAACGCCGGGACATGGCCCTTGGTTTCAACCCAGCCAATTGTTCCAACCACAGCACCGACAGACTTTCCACACTCGGCACCTCCTCTAGAGAACAGTGAATACTACCTGCCGGCTCCAAGCCAGGACCAATTAAGACGTCTGAATAGTCGTTCGGGGGCTCCCCGGCGTCTATCCGGAGGCTTCCGCCCCCCACCCGACTTTCTCGATAACAACGACTTCAACAACCGCTCTGCATATTCCCAGCCGGCATCCCGCCGGCCGTCAGCAGTCGAAGACATGCCCCTAATAGTCAGCACACCACAAGGTGTCTCAGGAGCTTTCGACCCGCCCAGTCGACACGCTTCCGGTCGTCGGGGCGACCCTCCCCTTCTGGCTCCCGTCCCACGCCATCCGCGCCCGCAGACGCAATCAGCCGTCCTCGGAAACCGCCCAACCGTCGAGCGACTCGAGACCATTTACAGCGTTGCGAGCAACGGCGCCAACTCCAACGCTGCTGGCGGCCTCGGCCTCGCTGTCCCTACGAAAACCAGATCCCTTTCAACCTCTACGAACGGCGCCACTCGCACAACCAGTCTTAACAGACGACAGAGCCGAGCAGAGAGGAGCGCTGCTAAGAACATTGCCGATGCCAAGAAGAAGGGGTGGATGGGCGGTCGGGGCAGGACCAAGAGCGTCAAAGAGAAGAAGGAGAAGAAGGCAAAAGGGAAAAAGCAGAAGAATGGGGACCATTTGGATGACGACGCGAAGAGTACGTGGACGGATATCACGACGCATAGCTTTTTGCCAGGTGGTATGAGGTTTGAGAGTAGTGAGCAGGCTGCGCAGGCGGCGAGGGAGAGAGCAGAGAGGGCGGAGGCCGGGGAGAGTAAGAGAGGGAAGAATAAGGGGAAGGGCAAAGGGAAGGAGAAGGAGGAGAGGGGGGATAAGGGGGATAAGAAGTGTGTTGTTATGTGATGGATGATGATATGATGGGAAGGTTGGATATTTGGATTGGATTGGGTTGGAAATAGGGTTCATGTTGAATATGGATCTGGGCGTTTTACATATAAAGGGTTAATGGAGCAGTCAAGTGGCGGTTCGTTAATACTTGGATTGTCGTGTATCGCTGGTGAACAGAACAGCGAGTCGAGAAGTATAAGAAAATTGACATATTTGTTGATAAACAAACTGTTCTTAATTAGTCCTTCGAACTAGTCCTTCGAATATCTCTGCAAATCCTTAACTTCGTTAACAATGTCATCGCCCATCTAAACAATGCTGGTCCTGTTATCCCATGCGTAAGCTTCATAGCCGACTGTTGCTCTCCCCAAAACCAGCTCCTTCAACACCAATCCATTAACAACCATAACAACCCCCCTCCCTCCCTCCCCTCTCCTTCATCCTTCCCATATCATAACCTTATCATGCCAGATCGCAAGTCCCTCAACGTCCCAACCCGCTCCCTCCCTGCCCATCACCCATCCTCCTCTCCAAATCCTTCACCTCCTCACTCCAGCCCTCCTCCTCAGCAGCAACCCCCTGCTCCTGCGTGCTGGAGCCGGGCGCGTGCTCGCTTGCTCCTTTTCCTCCTTCTTGGGCACCACCCTTACTAGAAGTCGAAGCGTCGGATGTCGTTGTGTGGTTGGGGTTGTTGCCTAGAATTTGTGCCTTGATGTCTGAGGGCAAGGGAGCTTCTTCTTGGTTTGTGGATGATGATGATTTTTGGCCTTGGCCTTGAGAGGCAAAAGTCGGGTTGGCGGTGGGCGAGAAGGAGGGGGATTGGATTGCGCCGTTGCCTGCTGCGCTGTTTGTTGCCATTTTGGAGGTTTGGTAGGTGGTTTGTGGTTTTTGGTTTTGGTTGACCGGTGGGTGTTTGGTCTGAAATTGAGGGACTGCTTGTGATGGGGGTGAGTGGACGAGGTTGTGCTTCTTTGGTTCAAATGATCAGGATGGATTTGTGGGAAAGGTGGACGATAGCGGTTGATTTTTTGTTTTCACGAACTAAGGTTTTGTCTACGGTATGGTTTGTTCCTGATGAGTTAACGAAGATGAGTTCGGATGGTTGGCCGTCAAGGTAGCGCCCATGATGTCACTGGCCAGACCGCGATAAGAGTGTGGGGAGAGACGATAAGGCTCAAGTCGAGTGCACGGGCCATATCATGGACCTCAACCCCTGTCTGGATTCGACTCCGGCCGAACGGCCGAATTTTGGAATTATGGAAATGGGATGAAGTGACGGGACACGATGGCTTCTTGGACACTTTCATCACACTAGTTGATCAAAATTCTCACATCCCCAAAAGTTTGGTTTTCCAACATCTCGAATGGGCCGATAACATACCGGATATCGAGCTCAGTTTGTTGTCGCCTGGTTTCGCATATCGGACGGCCGTTCAGGTGAGCGAGTCATTGCACACGTTTCCCAGCCAACGAACGTCGAGATGCTGTTGAGGCTCGTCCCCAGGGGCACGGTCGGGTTGTTCCCCGGAATCTCTCCACCATCATCTCAACGGGCATCCCTTGCTTTGAGGGGAACGACGACGACTTACACGCCCAACCTCAAACACCAAGTCCAATACAGCACTTTCAAAGACAACAGCGGAAATCCAGTAAAGCCTCTCCCGAGGACAGTCAAATGTCTCTCGGTCGTCGTAAACCCCGAGGCCTGGGATGACTATCTTTCTGGAGGCCCGGGAGAAATATACAAGAAGCGAATGAATGTGAGTACATCGTCTTGTCTCTGCTCGGAATAGACAACTTACGCTTCTTGGGAAACAGCCACGAAACCCACGTGTCTTCATCAGCCCCGCTATACGCCATTTCTACCAAAGCATCCTCTCTCATGGACCAGAGGTTCGAGCGGACTGCCTAGTCATTCTCGCTTCTTTGCGTTACTTCCAGGAAGTTCAATGCGCTCATACCTTTTTGTTCAACACGGTAAATGAACTGTTTACGCGTACAGAAGTAGGACCCTTGAAGCATTCCGAGGTACTCAAAGACAAGTTGAACGTCGTCACTGCCGTAGTAGACAAGATCCCGTTATGGCAAGTGCCCGGCTATGCTCCCAACGCCACCCTGGCTTCAGAAGGGTTCAGTATCCTCTGTGGACAGAGCGAACACCTTTTGCCTGGTCTGTGGGACAACTCAGACTTCTCATGGAGCAACATGAGGAATGAAACCGACCCTCTCTTCCACGAGCGAATGTACCGCCGTCTTCCAGTTGCTCCCAAGGGAAACGCCAAGGTTGAGAAGCCGATGCCCTATTCCTCTGGACCACCTCCCGTCCTCGAGTTTCGCATCAACCCCCTGCGCGGCGACAACCGGCCTGTACAAGTCACCCTCCCGCTCGCCAACACTAGTTATGCTACTTCTACCGCAGCCCAACAACGTGGCACGACACCCCACATATTGGAGGTCTCGGCTTGGGCGCGGTCACCGGAGAAGCAGAAGCTGCGTCCCATACACGTGGAGGCAAATACCCGGACTCATCTCACCATTCAAACGACATCCTTGAAGCAGCCCTGGCTAAGTGAGACTTGGTTCCAGCTCCTTCCCATCACATCTCCGCGCAAGATCGTCAGCGGTTTGGGAAACATTCTCAAGCAGGTTGAGATTGACGGCGAGAGCGCCCCGGCTAGCAAGGAGCTCGAGGATGTGATCCCGAAGCTGCTTTCCATGAGAGCCAGCAGCCAGAGACCAGTTGAGAACACGTCGGATAGCCACGCTGTTAAGGTCTGGGCTCTCATCATCCCGGATGAGGTGTACCAGAAATATGCAAGGTTGCAGCCTCTTTTTAATCTCAGCATGCAGTTTCCGCCTGTTTTTGATCTCTCCAAGCAGTCTCCGCCTGTTTTTGATCTCTCCATGCAGTTTCCGCCTCCTTTCGATCTCGAATCAGCCACTACTGCGGACGAAAAGAGATTGGCTGGAAGGTGCAGTAAGGCTCTCCAGGGCCTATTGGTAGCCGGATGTCATATCCGGGAAATCTGTAAGTCCGCCTCTACATACTTTGGTTTACACACCCTTTTCACTCATATATAATGTACTCACAAATCTCCAAACAAACAGTAAGCGGCGGCGGGGGCTGGGGCGCAAAACAAGGTCTCCTCTCTCTCGACCCTCAGGACCGAGACAATCGCCGCAAAAAGCCCACGAACAGCAGCAAAGACAGCGAGAACAACGAAGCCGAGGAAGACGACGACGACGACATGGAAGGCCTCGAACGCTTCCTCCGCACCCTCCGCGGCGAGCAAAACGTGGGCGACATCGCCTCACCCGGTTCCTGGGTCCAATTCTTCGTCGCGCCCGCCCACCTCGAGCGGCTGCCCTGGGATCCCGCCAACTCCAGGAGTGTCGTCAAGAACCGTAGGCCGGCAGAGAAGCTGACTTTGGGCATCGCGGATGCGGTCGATGAGTATGTTCCCACATGGGACCCAGACTTCACGGAGAACAAGGACAGCGACAGGTACAAGTACCACTGGCGGGATCCGAACGGCGTGGAGATCTTCACGAACCAGTTTGGTGCGCTTGCGAATGGGAGTTTGTGGTTTGATTTCAAGAAGCCGAGGGAGTTGACGGCGACAAACACAGCGACAGCGACGGAGACAGTGACAACAGAGACAGGGACAGCGACAGGAGCAGAGACTGCGACGGCGACAGCGACAGAGACAACAACAGAGACAACGGAAAACAGCACAACGGACAACAGCACGAATGATATCGGTGTCAACAAACAAGAAGAAGAGGATCTGTGGAAAGATTTGGAGGCGGATTCGGAGAGAAAGATTACGGTTCCGGAATTTAATCTTCGAGCGGACATTGACAACCCGCTGTATGTGGAGAAGGTGAAAGAACCTGGTGAGGAGGATCAGCAACAGCGATGGCAACAGCCAAAGGAAAAAGTAAAGCTGTCTGGAATAATAAGGAAGATATATAGGTGAAAGGGTATAAGTAACAGCACTCCTACATACTTAAGGTGCTAAGGTGTAAAGGAAAGAGATGTGCGAGTTAGGTTAGACATGAGATTCTCTAGATAGTCGCAAGACGAGAGAGAGCATTACATACAATTACAGCCAAATCGATGGCCCTCTAGGTATCGTCACAGTCTCGCGTGATGAGTGATGACAGATGTCAGAGTGTGTGTGTCTGTTGAAAAGCAAGTTTCATACTGATATTCCCGTCTAAAACGTGATCTCTCGAGAGATCTCCCAGTTTATCACTTTCTACCCTCCATCATCTCCCATCAATCTTCATCCACAGTCACGTCACCACTTTCATTTCTCACCCCCCTCCCCTTCATTCCCTTCCTCCCCTTCCTTCTCTACTGCCCTCCTCTTCCTCCTCCCCTCCAACCCCTCCCCCAACGCCTCACACAAATCCTCCAAATCCAGTCCCCTCCTCCTCTTCCCCACCTTCTCCTGCCCCAACACCGTCTCATTCGCCACGAACCTAAACACCCCCGCCACATGCTTAAACACATCCTCTTGTTCCTCATCCCACCCCACTTCGTCGTCGGTGAAAGTCTTGCTAATCTCCTCCATCTCCCGCACCCACCGGTACGCCTTGGGCGGTAGCGTAGTGACGTACCGCGTCATGGTGTGTAACCGCGAGGGGGCCAGTCGTTCGAGCGACGAGAGAAAGGAAGGGAGGATGCGTAGGGAGTGCGCGGTGGAGAGGGAGAGGAGGGAGAGGGCGGCGAAACCCTTGGCTAGGGAGGCGTAGACGTTTTTCAGGGCGGAGGCTTGGCCGATTTCGCTGCTGCTGGTGGTCTGCTTTTCAGCACCGGAAGAGTTTGGGTCAGTAAGGTCGGAGAGCATGTGTTCGATGTGCAGAGTCGAAGCAAAGTGGTTGCCGTAGGGGTAGGGGAAGGTGGACTCGTCGGTGAAGGACCAGGGACCCGAGGTGGGGAGGAGAGGGTAGGACCAGCCGGTGGTAGGGTCGTGGAGGATGTCTTCTTGAGGGAAGACATGTTTGGTTGAGGTTGACGCGGTGCTGGTCTGCGGCTGTTTCCGAGACGGAGTGACGCCGAGGATACAGCCGTCTACGAAGCGAACGTCGCGGTCGGGGTCGAGGCTGGCGGTGGTGAACTGGGCAGCAATAGACCGGACGGTGGAAGGGGAGATGGCGTTCATGTCGGCGAAGTAGAGCGGGGTGGACCGAGGGCTGGGTCCGGACGAAACATTCTTGAAAGCGGTGATGATGCGTTCAGCTGTGGCAGCGGCTTGGGCGGGCGGGACGACGGAGAGGAGCACGTCGCATTGGGTGATGAGGGCTTCATCTGTGGAGAGGAGCTCAGCGCCGACGGTGGTGGCGCGGTCGATGGTGTCTTGGCTGGTTATTGATGTCAGTGAGGATTATTGATCATCAGAGACGTTTGGATCTCACCTTCTCCCGGTGCAGTTGGTAGCAACGGCGTAGCCATTCGCGATGAGCAGACTGGCAAGGGCGCTGCCCATGTCGCCCATAGAGATGATGCCAATCTTGGCTCGGGGCTGTTGGCCCTTTGCCTCTGTGTTTCCGGACATTTCTAAGAAGTTTCCCAACGTAAACAATGTATATGTTGTTGACCTGAAGCAGCGGATGGACTATCAATGCGATGCGAGAGTAAGAGCAGAGTGAATATCACGTATGAGGGGCGATTTATAATTGTGGGGTTGTAATGGCGTTCGTGATGCTATTGATCCATTTGAGGCCATCATATTAGTCAGGGAAGGAAGGCTTAACAATATAGGTTTAGCCGAAGACGTGTAAATGGTCTTCCTCAATGCGAAACTCGCGTCTTCTTGTGGGCAGCGTCGGAGCAACTACCACTTTGAATGACGATAGTAGTATTTTTGTGCTGTCCAAATCCTATGTGCTAGAGAAAGGATCGATTCATGCTATAAATGCGTACCAAAGAAAAAGAAAGTAGAGAGAACCCGTAACCGTCTAAACAAGGGCTGGATCAGACTCCCGCAAACCCATATCCCAATCTTAAAAGCATCACCACCTCTTGCGCTTCTCAAATACGTCAGCCGCTGACCCTTTCCTCTTCACTCGATACCCATATCGATGTCATCTTCAGCAGGACCACTCGCGGCAGCCCCGTTGGAGGCTTCAGCCGCGGGAGCAGCATTGTTCTCTTGATTCGCACCACCGCCGCCAAAATAATCCTCCATCTCAGCATCCAACTCTTCCTGGGTCTTCTTGGGGCGTCCATTACGGGTACGCTCACCCTGGGACTTCTCCCCGCCTCTTCCACCACGTCCACCACGTCCACCTTCCCTGCGGGCGCCGGGACGACGACCACCCTCACGGCCACCCTCACGGCGAGGTAGCGGACTACGCGAGCGACCACGACCGGAACCACCAGGACGGTATCTGTCAATTCCTTTGCGGGCCGCTTCCTCATCCAAGTCACGGTCGCGGCGCGAGGGTGAGATTGAGCGGGATCGGCCACCGGGGACAGTGATACGCTCGGCAAGAGGACGAGGGTTAATAGCAGTTTCGAATGGGTTACGGCGGGGGCCGCTGGGCATGAGAGTGAGGCGGATAGGCTGGCCTGGAATGCTGTTAGATATGCTAACATCTACAACTTCGAGATTCACTGTGACGTACCGGCAGCGTTGGCTCCGTCGTACTCGCGAATAGCCCGGCTGGCATCCTGAGGAGACTCGTAGGTAACGAACGCAGTTCCTTCGGAGCGACCGGCGCGATCGTACTTCATGTCGAGCTTAACGAGGGGTCCAATTCGCGAGAAGAGTCCCTATGTATGTGGTGAGTATGGTGAACTATGTGCAACGTTCCCAGGCTGATATGATGCTTACTTCGAGGTCCTCTTGGGTCAACTCGTAGTGAATGTTGTCGACGCGGATCTTGGATCCCCTGGGATCGCTGCTCGAATGTCAGTACACAAACGTGGTACAAAGTAGTCAGCTATGTCTCCTACCTGGAGGGTTCCGGAGATTGTCTTCTTCTGGGGGCACGGCGGCGGTCTGAGAGACCAGTCAGCTAGGCCTTCCAGGACCCCATTTAATTGTCTCGGCTAGATCGTACCGTTCTCTTCGAACTTGTCGTGAACCCATTCGCTGTACAACCCGTGTCAGTGCCTTGTTTTCTAATGATCTTGCGCTTGTATACGTACGAGTCTAGGTTTCTTGGTGCATCGTCTCTGAAGGACTGTCCCGCCCAACAAGTCGGGAGCTGTTAGCTGGGAATTTTAAACTATATTACGCCGGGCTTCCTCGTCGGTCGCGATTCGAGGCATCGAGCACAAGTCGGGTTGAGTGGCTATGTTCGACATCTGAAGGTAACCGGACGGAGAAAGAGCGGAGCGTAAAGTCTAAAGGGGAAGAGGAGAGGATTCAACCTGTGGAGGAGCGGTCGAATTATCGTCAGCAAAGTTGCCAGTTGTGGTGAAAAGTGATCCTCAGGCTGAAGTGAGATTGGAGGTTGGTTCCATTCGTAGGCGGCGTACCTTTCTAACGCCATCGCGCGGGTAATCATTTCTGTCGCGTCGCTGGCGGTTGCCGCCGCCATTGTCCCGGTTGCCTCTACCACGAGAGCCTGAGCCCCGGCCGGCATTCTGCAGCAATCATTCCATGTCAGCGTCCATTCGCGAAGTACCCCAAAGCCCAAGTCAATTGGCAAACATGGAAAGGGTAAAGTGGCTATCACGTACTGGCTTGCGCTCGGCGAGGATCTCGTCAAGGCTACGGTCGAGAGAGTTGTCGGCCATTTTGCGTAGTGTCGCGATTATAGTGTAGTACTGATTGCGGTTGCGGACAGGGAGTTGGTGATAAGAGAATAAAATATAGGCGAAGGAGCCGCACCACGAGTCACAGGTACGGTGGAGGTCTGAAAGTGGTTGTTTGGTAATGGGCCGGTGAATGCGACCGACTTGTGACTGGAGTGAATCGATGGATGGCAAAAGGACAGGGACGCGGTTGCAACGAGTTGCAGTTCGAGGTTGGGGTTGGAGCGGAAGAGGCTGCGAGGCGGCGCCCCGGCGAGTCAACGTTGTTCTTGGCTGTGCAAGCTGGAGCCCGTCGCAACTTTAGTGTGGGGACCGCTACGTATATGTGGGGCTCATATCAACCTCAAATTGGAGACGACATCGACTTCGAACGGACTCCCAGCATGGCGTTACCGTCCATCGGCCCCGAGCGCTCTGCTGACTCTTGGGACTGAAGAGTCGTTCCTAGGCTAGAGTCGGAATCCCAGTTGAAAGTTTACGGAAGAACTCACAATCTGGGTCTTGTGGAATCGGTTATGGTTTTCAAAGTACGGCCTGCTTTTCATTCAAAGTCAAAACCAACTCTATAAACCTAGGGGCTCAAAGAACAGCAGTCATGCTGCTTTACTATTATCTGGTTGTCGCCGTGTGGTTTATGAAAAACCTACCAAGTACACTTTGGACACTGCATTTGATATCAAAGCGTAGGCTTATTCGACATTACAATCTAACCATTGCTATAGACAGCGCTGCTTCACAATGGGCATCATAGACAGCATAGACATCTCGGAGACAACAAAGTTAAAAGAAGTAATTACAAAAGCACCGTTACTGAACCTAACAATCTAACAAGCAGAAGCAGCTGACCTGGCTGCATCCTCCTGCCTATCCAGCTTTGCCGGGAACAAGAACCGTCATGATCATCATATGTCGTCCCTGCGGCCATCACAAAGCCCACCAGGCCATCGCCCACTTCACAACACCAGGACCCTGAGTTCAGTCTAAATCGCATTTTGAGAACTTCCCTTGACAACTAGTTACAGATTGACCAGAGAACCTCAATACAAAGCAGTCCGTCCCTTCGTCCGTCTTTTTTGAGCACCGAGCACCTCTAAAGTAAATGAGCGTGCGCACGTGCTAGATCCGTACCAGCGCTTTTTGTGGTGTAAGAAAAGATTACCACCAGATGCTGAACCCGCAAAATTCCAGTAAGAAAGGAAGAGTCCTTAACCTCCTTCTCTATCAGAAACCGTGTACACGAGGCCGCCTCTTAAATCCTAAAAGGATGCCGACGTGTAAAGTTTGCGGGGTATGCCGAAAGTAAGGAAAAGGATATCGTGTATCAATAACGCTTTTTGCTTTTTTTGTTTAGATGAGGTCAGCGACGTTCATGGGCATCTCCTCAATCTGGGTGCTGTAGAACTGCTCGATCTCGCGCATCATGCGGACATCGTCAGCGGTAACGAAGTTGATCGCAACACCCTTACGACCGAAACGACCACCACGACCAATACGATGGATGTAGTTCTCGCGGTTGGCGGGGAGATCGTAGTTGATAACGAGGGAAACCTGCTGAACGTCGATACCACGGGCAAGGAGATCGGTGGCGATCAGGACACGAGAAGAACCGGAACGGAACTCCTTCATAATCAGGTCACGCTGAGCCTGGTCCATGTCACCGTGCATGGCGGAGACGGTGAAATCACGGGCAGTAAGCTTGTCGGTAAGCCAGTCGACCTTTCTGCGGGTGTTGCAGAAGATAACGGCCTGAGTAATGGTGACGGTCTCGTAGAGATCGGAGAGGGTGTCGAGCTTCCACTCCTCCTTCTCGACGGCAATGTAGAACTGCTTGATACCCTCGAGGGTAAGCTCGTCCTTCTTGACGAGAATGCGGACGGGCTCGCGCATGAACTTGGTGGTAACCTCAAGGACGTCCTGGGGCATGGTGGCGGAGAGAAGGACGACCTGGGTGCTCTGGGGGAGGAGCTGGAAGATGTCGTAGATCTGCTCGGTGAAACCGCGCTGTAGAAAGGAGGAAAGTTAGCATTTTGCATCCGACTGTTGTGGGCACTGGAGAGTATACGTACAGAAAGCATCTCATCGGCCTCATCAAGGACGAACATCTTCATGCTGTCGGTCTTGAGGAAACGACGCTGGATCATGTCGTGGACACGGCCGGGGGTACCGACGACGACCTGGGGGCCGTCCTGGAGGGCCTTCATGTCATCACGAACAGAGGTACCACCAATGCAGGCGTGGCACTCAATGTTCATGAAGTCACCGATGGCGACAACGACCTTCTGAATCTGCTGGGCAAGCTCGCGGGTGGGGGCGAGGATAAGAGCCTGGCAGGCCTTGAGGGTGGGGTCGATCTTCTGGAGGACGGAGATGGAGAAAGTGGCAGTCTTGCCAGTACCGGACTGAGCCTGAGCAATGACATCGTGGCCTTTGGAGAGAGTCAGCGGGAGTTGACCATTTTGTCGGGTAGTGGTGTTTTCTTACCCTTGATGACGGGCATGATGGCGCGCTGCTGGATAGCAGAGGGGCGCTCGAAACCATAAGCGTAGATACCTAACATCAACCATCAGCATATGGACCTCTATACACCGCTCGGTCGGGAATGGTGTTCTTACCGCGAAGCAACTCGGGCTTCAGGTTCATCTCGTCAAAGGAGTCGACGGTCTCATCGTAGTTAGACTCGATCTGTCCTGTAAGGGTGGAAGGATTGTCAGTGACTGCTGAGTTGGGCGGTGATGCCGAAAATGTGGGCGCCGACGAGGGGCAAGAGAGGGGAAGAGGGGCGAGGCACAACACACAGGCGACGGCAGCGGCGAATACTTGCACGACGCCGTCGACCGAGTGTAGCGATGGCCTTTGGTGGTGTTGATGAAGTTTTTGAACGTACCCTCGGGGATATCCTCGAGTCCCTTATCGGTAGCCATGATTGCGGTTGTAGATTCGCAAAGATTTCCGGATCCAAGCCCTGCTTAGATCTGGAAATACTATTGAGTGTTGGTGGGGTAGGAGAGCAAAGAAATATCCGCAAACGTCACGTTGCAGATATGTTGGAGAGGATATTAAGTTATTGGAAAATCGACAGATTCAAAAACTCCCAGTTGTACTGAGAGAAAAGGATCTGGAAAAAAAGGTCGAGGGATGGGGGTGTTTGTATGTGGGTTGGGAAGTGGTGGGCAGAAAAGAGGAGACCCTGTGGTGTAGGCGGACAGATAAAAATTCAATTTGCTGGCGGACCGGAAATTTATGTGTGCCTCAGGCACTAAAAACCTGACTGGTGAATGCGTGTCAGTCAACTTTTTTGACGTCTCCCCCTCCAAAACCAACGGTCACAAGCCAATCAGAGAGCTTGCGCACTTCAATGGTGGGGTAGTCTTGGCACTAGCGCCGCTACCTTGAAGGTTTCTTCACGTTCTCCGACACCCGCCTCCCCCTCGCCGGGCGGTGGTCTCGCTGTCTTCTTTTTTTTTTTTTTTTTTGCCTGCCATTGCGGCGGCGACGCTTGAAGCCCGTGTTTACACGACGGACAGGGGGTCCCGGGGCAAATATTCATATGTAACTCTTGCGCCCGTTGGTTCCGTTGACATTTTGGACGTCCTTTTTCCCTCATGTCTTTTTTCTCTTTCTATTGTCTGTTCTATCTACCTCTTGGCTCATTCGATTAAACTGCCTGACGCGGGGGTTCACTTTGGCCACAACCGGATTTTCTTTTAGATCTTACAGCCACCAAGTGGTGTCCTCACACCCTCACGCCTTCCTCTGCTCAGACTAGCCATTGTCACGATTGGTATTATTCATTGGACGCTGGCCCGTTTCCATCCTCTTCCACTCAACACGCACGCAGCAACCCGGTGTAGCCCTATTCCGATTCGGCGGTTGGCTGCAACAGTTGGAGGATACCTTGTTACGCTGTTCAACATCATATGACAGACAGACAGAACCGGCAACTCCCAGAAATTTTCACACGATGTTTCTCTCAACGGACCAACAACAAAAGCCTGACGACCTCATCTTTGAGGCAAATGGAAATGGGAGTCACAGAGTGACTGATGAGGATGATGCTACCACAGCTGTGGAGTCATCTGTTCCAACACACCCTCTTGGGATCAAGCCTCTAGGCAACAAGTACTTCCACACTGGCAACGATGCCCGGGTCAGTTTGGGTGACCTGCAAGTCTTGCCCGATGAGATGCTTGCCCAACTCTTTGAGTATCTGGATAAGCGTACCTTGAGGCTTCTCGGCTATGCCTGCAAATTTCTCTACGCTCATTGCAGCTACGACGACCTCTGGAAAACCATCTTCTTAGAGTAAGTGACACCAAGTTTCCAATGCAGATAACTATCATGAATCAATCACCCATAGCCCCCCCTTTTTTCCTGGGAGTCGTCCGACCCCTGACCATAGAACTGGCCCAACACGTATTGTCAGTAGTGTAGACGGCACTTCTTGTCAGATATTCCCCTTCTTTGACATCGGAGAGTTGGGTATCTTTGCCGATATGTCATGTGTAGTTGTGTAGGCTGTTGAAAACATCCGACATCTGCTCAACAACAAAGTAGCACCTGTACTGAAAGAAATCGACTCAATCCATGTTAACAGAGGTGTAGGTCTGAATTCAAAGACAAGTCCTCTTTCCAATGGCAGGGCTCCTGGAGGGCAACCGTTCTCGGCCTCTCACCCGAGAAGCGCATCAAGATCGACTGCAGCAACGTTTTCTCTGATGTCTTGCATCGTCCGTTTGTCTGCAGTCACATCTCGTTGCCCAAGTACACGAGAAACATCCCGCCAGCGAACAAGATCCCTAGTCTTGACGACCTGACGTACGAGGAGTTTGCAGAGAAATGGAGCAAGAAGCCATTTATCCTTACCAGGTGTATTCAGTCGTGGCCGGTCCTCAAGTCCTGGAATATGGAGACACTACATAAAATGTACTCGGATGTGGTCTTCAGAGCTGAGGCGGTGGACTGGTCCTTCGACACGTACTACCAGTACATGATGGACAGCCACGACGAAAGCCCCCTTTACTTATTCGACAAGAAGTTCGCCGAAAAGATGAAAATCGAGGTCGGCAAGACCAAGGATGCCGCTTACTGGAACCCAGACTGCTTTGGAAAGGATCTCTTCGAGCTACTCGGTGCTGAGCGGCCGGCGCATCGCTGGATGATTATCGGGCCTGAGCGGAGCGGCTCTACCTTCCACAAGGACCCGAACGCTACAAGCGCCTGGAATGCGGTCATTCAGGGAGTCAAGTACTGGATCATGTTCCCGCCATCAGCCCAGGTCCCCGGCGTCTATGTTTCCGAGGACCAGAGCGAAGTCACCAGTCCTCTCAGTATTGCGGAGTGGCTCCTCGAGTTTCACGCAGAGGCCCGGAGACTGCCCGAATGCAGAGAGGGCATTTGCCACGCAGGCGAGATCCTTCACGTCCCCAGTGGCTGGTGGCATTTGGTGGTGAACATTGAGCCCGGCATCGCTCTCACTCAGAACTTTGTGCCAAAGGCACACCTGTCGGGTGTGTTGTCGTTCTTGAAGTACAAGGCCGACCAGATTTCGGGATTCAAGAAAGAGGTCGAGGACCCGTACACGCTCTTTGTTGAGCGCTTAAGGGTCGAGTATCCTGAGCTCTTGGAGGAGGCTGTGAAGCAGATGGAGGAGAAACAGGGAACTAAGAAAAGGAGATGGGATCAAGTGGTCGGTCATGACAGTGCCGAGGGTGGACCAGAGCAGAAGAAGGGCGGAGGTTTTTCCTTTGCCTTTGGCTTCGGCGACGATATCGACGAGGAGGATGAAATCCCCGAGATTACCGGGACCGATGAAATGGACATCTGCTGACTCTTATAACCAGATGGATGGCATCACATTGGTATGCGTGTAACTACGTACGTACCTAAAAGCATACCGTCTAGACATCATATAGTACCGCATAGTCCAGCGATTGGTTGAATTGATCTTCAGGGGCAAGCTAGAACTGAGGATTTGCCCCAGATGGATAAACAGTGATGAAACTTAGCGGCAATCCTACCGCCTACCGCTATCCGCCCTACGATCGCAACGATCATCCGCAACGGTCGTTCACGGTGTATGAAAATGGAATAGACTGGACAAGCGCTCGTCCTGTTCTTCATGCGCTTGGAGAGCATGTTGAAGATCGGGTGGACGCATTGATCTGTGCGAAGGTCATCAAGCAGCAGAGCAAGGGTATTCTTCCGATGAGACAGCCTGGAGAAGGGGAAATGGACATTGAATCGTCGATGAAAAGGGATCCATATAATGCGCCCGTTTTCAACGGATCTCTGTGGCTTGTATGACGATCAAGCTGCCAATGAGCATCCGTAACTCAGCGAGAAACTGGCGTGACCGTAGCCTTGGGATGGGTCATGGCCGCCTTCGAGACCCCTCCATTATTCCACTTCCTTCTTCGACCCCTTTTTATTCCCCCTTTCATCAAATCAGGAGGGAAGCGATGATGGCCCCTGTTTGGCCCAGGTAGAAGGGGCATTTCTCGTATACATAGGCGTTTCCGCCAACCCAGCATTGAGCGGGCCAGTCAGTCAGTGCTGGCATTGTATCACCAAGGAGCTAAGGCTGGCGAACATTCACATACACTCATACAGTAGCTTACTAGCACAGGGGGAAAGGGTGACAAGAGGAGGTCTCGAGGGAGTCGAGGCTCTCAGCTAACACAAGTTGATATTGGGTCTGTGCACGGTACGTATCGGATCCGGTGAGAAACAGCCCCGCTATTGGAATGTTTTGGCAAGGGAGTCTCCACTCGACCCCCGGTGCGCACCCCGACAGGCGGCCACGGACAGCCCTGGAGGGAATGGGAGGTCTGACAACAGTGGCCGTAGCAGGCTTTTATAGTATAAAACGCTTGAGTAGGGATTTTGGGCTAGAACACCCTTACACAATACTATTCGTTGCTATAATCTACTAGATAATTGAATATTATTATATTGAAGTTACTTTTATTCTACAATACGTTATTTTAATTAACAATACAGTGTCTATTAATAAAGTATTGAGTAAAAAATGGAATTGACCATTTAATAGTATAACAATAGTAAACTGCCCTATAATAACCCTACTAATACTATAGAATATTCTAATATAATACAATTATTTACTAAAATAGTAAATTATAACTATAATAAAACTATCAACGTAACGAAATATTCGATACAACGTATATATTTATATAAATAGTAAATTATGGCCGCAATAAAATTATTAATGTAATAAATATTCTAATTTATGTATTTATTTTCCAATTAGTAATATTCTTATAAAAAATCGGATTTCTAATAATTTTTTATACTTATTTAAATGCCTATTATAATTGTATTTATAAAACGGTTGCGTATAAAGTATTAGTAACGAAGTATAAGGGATATTAGGGGAAAAAGCGTTGTATTGAATTACTTATTTACTTTAATATAACGGTATTTACTCTAGTTCTGTTCCCGCCGTTCTATTAATAAGGTACTAAATAATTATAGGTTAAAACTCCATCTTATATCGCTTATATTAACCGATAATGTAAATTACTAATATATCTATAATAAAATACTATATAATACTCTAAGAGTATCCCTTTAAAATTCTTTTAATATACCGGTATAAAATCTATATTAATAAAAAGTAACGATAAGGGAGTATAGATAGAGAAAAAGAATAAAAACTTCGGTTCTAGAGAAAAATAATGTATAATATTAGTTGTAAACGAAAGTCTATTGGTAGACCGTTTAGATTTTATAAGAATAAGAAAAAGAAAAAGATAAAACCCTCTATAAAAGAACGACGTAAAAAATTAATTATAAATAAAAAATATTAATTGTATCGTTACTAAAGGTAGTAATAATACCTTTATTCTAATATTTAGAGGAAAGCGGGGAGATAGAAAGGCGAAGAAGCGACGAAATTTAATATAATAACGGCTAAGGGCTACTAGTACGCCAATTATTTGCGACGAATATTCTATAATCCTATTTTTATTAAGATAGTTCGAATTCGTCGAAGTATTCGGTAGGAAATTCGAATTTAGAGGGAAGAATTCTATAGCTAGGGACATTCTTCAAAGTTTAATCTTTCGCGCTTTCAATATATTCCGATAAATTTAAATTAGGATTAATAAGGTATTAATTTAAAACTTATCTTTAGTATAAACCATTTTTATTATTTTCGTTAATTCCCTTATACTAGCGCTCTATAATTTCTACCCATATTTTATCGGAAGTTTAAAATTCGCCCTCGAATTTAATAATATTATATTGCCGGTTAGTAAACTAATTAACGATTTCGCGCTCCCCCTTATATTTATCAAAATTAAGGAGTTTAAAAATTTCTTCTAATTTATTAAGGGATTAAGTTATATTAAGGATAGGGGCGTCTTTAAATATAATTAGAGCTTGTAAAAATAGATTAAAAATACTTAGTATAATAGTATAATTAAGGATAAAATTTAAGGAGGTACTTATACTAAACGGAATATAACCGCTCAATAAAATAATATAGCTAGGGATACTATTAGTAATTATTAAGGTATTATTCGGTTAAGGGGCAAAGATATTATTTGCTAATAATTAAATTTAAAGGCCGGAAATATTATTCGAATAAATTTATTTATATTAATTCTCTCTAGTACGAAGTTTCTTTTAGGGTCTATATTTATTAAATTTAATATCACTATTCTATATTAATTCTTAATTTATTCCTTCAACCCTAACTTCATTTTCAATAAATATTTCGTAGTTTAATACGTTAGCTTAATCGACTCTAATTATAATATTCTCTATCCTTTCTTTATAAATAGGAATAATAATAATAAAAAGGACCGGGGATATAAATTAAAGCATCGATTTTCTTTTACCCTTAAAGGGACGGCTATATTTACGTTTAGCGGAAATATTTTTAACGGGAATATTTCTAGTAGGAGTAATAATAGGAACCGTAGCAACTATATTAGGAGCAAGAGGAATTTCGATAGCTTGGGTAGTAATTATACTAATTTATTCGGAATAAAGATTTTCTATAATAATAGCGGTACATAGTAAGTAAAGGATTTTTTGAATTTATAATTGGGTTAATATAAATTTATTAATATATAATAATATTTTGGAAACATTACCCTTAGTATTATTAGTAAGTTTAATTCCGAATGATATTATATCCCTATTATAATTAATAATCCGTATTTCCGTTACTAACCAACGGAAGAAGCGAGTTATATCTAGCTATTTATTATAGTACTATTCCTAATTTGCTTTTATATTATAAATAAAATTATCTTTGCTTATATTTAGCGTTCCTATAATATTAGTTACGAATATTATAAACGTTAAACCTTTATTCGGATTATTATTTTTAATAACTTCCTTCAATTATATTAAGAATAGTTTGTAATATCCGTTTAGGCGTAAGCTTTTGCCAGTAAAAATATTGGCGGCGTTTAAGGTAGCGTTTCCTATTATATTTTTTTTATCGGGGATATAAATAGGAGAGGCGGTAGTAACTTTATTCTACTTTGCAAGAGTAGGAGTAATAGTAATTACGGGAGTAGGAGTAATAGTAGTTGCGGGAATAGGAGTAGTAATAATTGTAGTAATAACCTAGTTAGTAGTAATTTACGGCTTCTTATTTTAACTTTCATAAAGTCTACTCCGCTTAAGCTTTTTAATAATAGTAGGAGTAGCGGTGGGATTTATAATAGGAATTTAAGTAAGGGTATTCGGAGGAGGGGTAATAGGAATAATGATATTAAAGGTAATAATAGTTCAACATTTATTCTTATTACTAAGAGGCCTACCTTTATATAGTTTAAGAATAATAGTTTTTCTATTGCGCTAGCGTTTAAGTCCTCTTTCTATTATATATATTAATATATACGTATTAAATATTTCGCGTAATTCTAAAGTAAGAATAATATAATTTATATTCGAAATTACTATACGACGGGAAAATTCGTAGAAATGGCGCGAGGATTAGTATATTAATAAAACGATATAGAAGAATAATATAATAATTTAATACAATAAAGATATTAATAACATATAATTATATTGATCTTTCTACGTAGAGATATAATAGTTAGTATAATATAAAAAGACGAAAAATAAAATATAGAAGAGGAATTAGAGTAGAAGAGGAGTTAGAATAGAGGTTTACTTTATTATAATTAGGAGTAAACGTAAGCGGGACGAAGGACGATAAGATAATACGCTACGTATATTAATAAATTTTTGGTAGTACTGTAGAAATTCTACATTTTTTTAGATTGAATTTTTGATGTGAAATAAGTTGGGAAATATTAGGGAAATTTCGTCGGCGCTATTTTATCAGTATTTACCCTATTATTATAATAGAAATAAGAACTGCGATAATAAATATTTAGATAGTTTTATAGTTACGTTAATTAAACTAGATCTGTTAAAAATAATTGACAATAATTAATTCTATTAGAAAATTAATCTCGAAATACTTAAAAATATACTAGTTACTTACATTCAATACTACGTTTTATGATATATAATATAAATATTGTATTTTAATATATATTAATAATACAAAGGATGAAACCGAATACTATAATTGATTAAATATAAAATTAATGTAAATGTTATAATTTTGTCCTTCGTTCCTTTATTATTATTTATTAGTACTATCGTTATATAGAAGGGATCGCGAAATAACCTTTATAAAAAATAAAAGAAATAAAATATTAAATATTAATATTATCTTCCTAATTAATACCTATTAACCCTACGCCTAAAAGCCTATAATAATAAAAATCCGAGCCCAAAGAAAAGAAAATATACTAATATTTGAAACAATAAAAAAGAAAAGGAATAACTTTATACTATAATTTATTAGAACAATCTCGTTATATTTCGTATAAATTACTAGTGATACGGGAGGTT